AATCGAAGATGAACTTCCCCTACTCTTCCCTCTTGATGAATCTCGACTTCCGCTTCTACCTTTCTTACCTTTCATCTTGGCATCATAGACCTTTTGAGAATGACTGTAAAGACATTTATCACCTTTGCTGCATCCTCCTTTGTTGAAGAAGTAATTGCAATAAATCTTCTTCTTGTCAACGGGTGAAGATGATCTCCCCTTCCCGCCTTTGCCTTTCTTGTTGTTCTTGTCGGCATGGGATTTCGGAGAAGGTGTTGGGAGTACTGATGCAGCTTCACTCTTCGCCTTTGCCTTAGGTCGCTTGGGAGGATCACCTGTAGACGATGCAGCTGCTTCATTCTCCTTCTTGGTCTTGATGGGAGCGGCAGGCTTGTCTGCATCTTCCAGAGCAGGTGTTGTCTTGTTAGAGGACAATGACAGTTTCACTGCACGTTCTCTATCTTTCAACAGTCGTTCTTGCTTTCCTCGTGCGATGTATCCTTTGATCATACCGGTCAGGGAAGCATAAGTCTTTTCAGGATGCCCTTCATCATATGTACGGTATCGGTTGATATCAAAAGACATAAGCTTTGAATGTTCAATCTTCCGGAACAATGTGTCACGCAGGGAATTTGCAGAAGGCAGATCATCATGTTTCATGTTGTATATGATATCAAGCCACTTGTTGTAGAAGGCCTCAAGTTGGTCATCTCCATAGTAATTGAACATGTACAAATGATGGGTGTTGTAGAGAACCTCAGTGTGGTCAGGTGACTTGAAGCTAATCAATACCATCGCGAATAGTTCTCGTCCCTTGATGAAGTCCCCACTCCTCCCATACATTTGGTTCTTCATGGACATGTCATACTTCACTTGCATGGACTTGTCCCCAGCATTGTCAATGACTTTCCTCAAGGCATTGGAGAGCTTGGCATCAATGGATTGGAATCTCACATCGGGTGCTTTGGCCAGAGCCTCCAAGTCTGGTTGGTCTGCAAGACACGGAGCTAGCCATGCTTTCCAATCTTCATAGTTTCGATCTCCACTTGCAACACAAACTTCATGAACAACACTTCCCTTCCAGGATGAAAGTTCAGTGGTCTTAGGCCAAGGTTGGAGATTGATCTTTTCGGCTTCCCTTAGAGAAACGGATGACTTAGATCTGTCCTTCTCAAGGTTCTCCAACTCCTTGACATTGGTGTTGTACTCGTTCCTGAGCTTCTCGAAGGCTTCAGCTTCTGCTCGGTATTCCTGCTCCTCATCGTTGGCACGATCTTCAGCTTGAGAGAAATTGTTCTTGTAGTAATCTTTTCGATCTTCCATCTTCCTTAATTCATCTTGAAGATTTCGAACTTCAGCGTTCTTCTCTTGCTTCATCTCGTCCAACTCTGCTTTCAGTTTGGCACACTTCTCTTCACATTCATTCCGAGGCATAGCACTACTGGGGTACCCAAGTAATGTGGCCGGCCTGTTCAATGATGAAGACGAAGCAGCTTGGTTTTCCAGCTTCAGGGCAGCGATGGTGCTCGACATCTCTTCTACTTCGGCGAAACGTTCACTAGCCAGTTGGTGCATCTCGGTCAAGTGGCTCTCAGGAATGGAATAGTCAGTCGCACCTTTGATCACGAGTCTTCTATCGTTCAACATCTTGATGGACTTACCTGCATCCCTGTGAGCACGCTCAAGAGAATCCTTTTGGGCTTCAATCTCAGCATGAAGGCGAGCAATAGCTGTATCCCTGTCATTGATTTCATTGTGTAAACTGTCGAACAAGTTACTCGTCACATTTGGATTGTTACTCATGTGATCGATCTTGTCCAGAGCATCTTGATACTTCTTACCAGTTTCATCGAAATGTTGCTGAAATGTCTTGAGCAGGTTCTCAGTGTCAATAAGTTCAGTTCTGTTTTGCAAGTACAACTTGTCAACTTCAGCCTTGGGTTCCTTTAAACTGTCACGCTCACGTACAGCTTGCATGTACATTTCATGTAGTACTCCTCCATGCGGTGATCTGCTTGGCGAGGATCTTCTGGCTTGTTGACAGGAAAGTTCATGATACTAATTCTTCGATTCAGTCAGTTGTTGTTGCATTCGATCTAAAAGACTTTGTTTCATGTGTAGTTCCGAACGTAGTCCCATTATCCTCATGTCCCGCATGCCACTTGATTCAGCTAGAGATTCTTCAGAAACTTTGTTCTCAGAAGTCACTAGTCTAGATTGTAAGTTCTCATTGTGAATCATCTGCAATCGAAGTTGTGATTCCTCCAAAGCTAAATGATGTTCACATTCTGCATAACGGTCATGTTCAGATCTTATGTTACTACGGAACTCCTTCATGATCTCGTCCCTCTTCATGTCAGCGGCATCGAGCTCAGTTTCCAGTCGTCTAACATTCATGGCCATGGTGTGCTTCATAGTCTGGTTTTGATTGGCAACCTCGAGCATCTCGATCTGTAAAGCACAAGTCTGGTCGTTAGCATATCCGACCGCCAGCGCTTCTTGCTTTGCGTTCATCTCTGCGTTTTCTAGTTCCAGTCTGAGTTGATTGATGTGAGCATTTGCATCAGCGCCCACATGTACCATGATTGCGTTCGCTTGTCCCATTTGTTCATTGAATTCCGAACGTAGTTGTGAATATCTAAATTCCAAATGAGATGCGGCTTCATTCGACATAGTCTGATACCTCTCCAACTCTTCGATCCTGTAGGTTGCACCTTCATCTTCCTGTTGTGCAGCCTGTAACTCGAAGTTCAGCATTTGGAGTTGTTCAGTCATCGACATCATCTCTTGATGAGTGGTGCTTTCCAGGAAATTAAATTGTTGATAGGCATATGCAGCCGTCTCAGTTAATCTCGCCTGAAGTACGGATTCTTCTTCAGTGGCCTTTTCCAGTGATGTCTTGTATTCAGTTAATTTGCTCTGATAGGCAGTGAAGATGTCGCTACCACTTGACGGGGCATTCACTTGTTGGTAAGATCCTATCCCTGATGGTGTAGCGTCCTGAATCGGTGAAGGCGGATTCGATGAGGTAGGCCTTGCCTTAGTCCTTGGAGTCATCGGAGGCGACGATTGTCGTGCAGATGATCTTCTCTTTCCAGGTGTGCTGTCCCTATCTTCAATTGCTTGCATTGTCGAAATTTGTCTCCCTCTCGGAGCAACCAGAGGTCGTCTGGGTAGGCTTGGTCTCAGTTCTGAGGTTTCGCTTCCACCAGTATCGATACTCTGTGAAGAATTTGACTGCGTGCCGGCAGCTGGTGCAACGGCATGTCCAGAGAAAGAAAATGCGTTATCGCTGCTATCCTGTTCAGTCATCTGTAAGGTCCGCGGCTACCCGCTCGTAGGCTCCGTAGGAGTCCTACGGCTGATAACCTGTGAATCGGAGGTTCTTTCTCCGATATGTGCTTTTGATTGTCCCTGAAAGTGATTGTTTTCACCAGTGATGACACGGGATTCACAGCTTCGGCATGGCTGACTTTTCTCGTAGAGCTTGCAGTGGTCTTGAGCCAAAAGGGGCATTGAATGCGACCCTTTGGCACTGGAAGACTAAGGGGTATTTACATGGGAACACATGTGATACTGTAGCCTAGCTCCCATTCGCATGTATGTATGTATGTATGTATGTATGTATGTATGTATGTATGTATGTATGTATGTATGTATGTATGTATGTATGTATGTATGTATGTATGTATGTATGTATGTATGTATGTATGTATGTATGTATGTATGTATGTATGTATGTATGTATGTATGTATGTATGTATGTATGTATGTATGTATGTATGTATGTATGTATGTATGTATGTATGTATGTATGTATGTATGTATGTATGTATGTATGTATGTATGTATGTATGTATGTATGTATGTATGTATGTATGTATGTATGTATGTATGTATGTATGTATGTATGTATGTATGTATGTATGTATGTATGTATGTATAATATATATATATATCCCAATGTTTGAGTGTTTATAACCATGGTCATTGCCCTTTGTAACCTCAACTGCACCCCCAAGTGGTAGCTCTGCGCATTGGGATGGTGGATAATGGGGGGTTCCATAGCCATGGGGGTACCCCAATAGCTGGATGGTTTATCAAGGAAAACCCCATCTATAAATGCATGAGAACTGGGGGTGCCCCTATGACTTAGGAAACCTTCAAATGTTGGTTCTATCACCATGTTTGACTGGTCATGTAATGACGTTTGGTAGTTAAGTCGTCATTTTCTTCAGTTCAATCATGAGCGTTTGGCCGTTAAATCACCATTTCTGTCGGTCTTATCATGTCTACTGCTCAAATTCTTCGAGATCTTTGATTTTCATAGTCTTCCCAATTCTTGATCTTGATGAAAATCCATGAAAAACCAATAAAAAACTAAACTCAGGTGCTATCCCCAACAGCTTGAAAGCTTCTGCGTTTTTGCCATAAAAAGTGCTTATGCCATAAAAACTAAGCGCTTATGCCATAAAAATTAAAAGTGCTTATGCCAATCAAAACATCGGAACCCTTTGGAATTTCACAAAGCATCTGCACCAGAACCCTCCGGAACCTCACAAGGTATCTGCACCGGAACCCTCCGGAACCTCACCAAGCATCTTCTCCGCCAAAACCCTCCGGAACCTCACAAGGTCTCTGCACAGGAACCTTCTGGAACCTCACAAGGTATCTGCCCTGGAACCCTCCGGAACCTCACTACGCATCTTCACCTACACCCTCCGGAACCTCATCAGGTAGCTGCACCGGAAACTTGCGGAACCTCACCAGGTACCTGTCTTCACCGGAACCCTCCGGAACCTCACGAGGTACCTGCCCCAGAACCCTCCGGAACCTGGTGAAGCTGCACCAGATCGCACCGGAGCTAATCTGGGCTAAAGACCCCATAGCAAAGTTTTGCTGTTGAACAGTAAAAATCATCACTTCTTCCCAAAGATTTCCAGATTTTTGGCCATCTCCAAGGGTCCGTTTTCGTCCCACGATGTGCCACGCGCAACGCGCAGCCGCCGCAACCAGCGCGCCTCCGCCTGGGCGGTGGCTTCCGCCTGCGCGCGCTGCAAGGCCTCTTCCTCGGCCCTGCGGCGAACCTGGGGCCAGTGGTTTTAGCCAAAGTAATAAATGATAGTAATATTATAGTAATTACCCATAGGATCCATGTATGGTATATATGCTAACATTGGGGGTATATTGATGGTAAATGTTACCATATATAGCATACATGGATCCTATGGGTTATGGTTATAATAAACATTATAGTAATATCATTATAAATGCACTATTACTGTGGCTATCTAATGGCTATTATAACCATAATGTACTATGAACTATTAATGGGTATATATATATATGAATGGGATTGAGTGGGTATTATAACATGTGGTTTGATATGGTTTAATAACCATTAGATAGCCAGTGGTAATATTATAACTGTACTAATGTGGCTATCTAATGGTTATAACTAGAATGAACTATGAACAGTTAATGGCTATATAAATGTATATAATAATAAGAACAAGAATGACAATAATAATAACAGTACTTTGTTCAAATCCCAGCTATATAACTAGTAAGTAGCGTGTATCCCTCATATTTCGCTGCGAACCTCCTCCATCTCTTTTTCCCTGGCCCTCAAGATGCGTTCCGTTTCTCGCTGCGCCTACCGGCATCTAAAGAAGCCCCGGAAAAAAAAAAAAAAAACTGTTTTGGGGTGGTTTTAATCTTTGTTGTAGAAAAACACTAGTCACTAGTAGTATTTGGGGGTGCAGCTGGTGCAACCATGAATTGAATCTAATATGGAACCCCGCAACGGCCGCAATAGCCGCAATAACCGCAACAGCCATACAGCCATATAGGAGAATTCTCTTCCAAACTGTTCGATTTTCGGACGGTAATATTATCCTTTCTTGTTTGACCAACAATCCGATTGACACCCTTTTTGGAGGATTGGTTAAAATCCCATCCTCCAGAAAATACGTTTCAAGAAAAAACACAGAATAGAAAGAACAAATACTAATACCATTGTTTCTGGCGGGTGTTTTTGATTAGGAAACATGAGGGGGTATTGGGGATAACTAAAAATGAATCAACATCCAATGTAAATCAGCGAACCCGGGGTTCGCATGATTTAGATATGTTTAGATGAAACAATATTTACCACATTCACAACGGCTGACGATTGGACGGATACGGATTGGACCAGTTGGACCAGTGACAGGGAGACCAAAACGGCGCCATTGAAACGTGCCCAAAAAAAAACAACTCGCTACAGATTTGCAGCTGAGATCCACGGGCAGCAAGAGTTTACGACAACACTCTTTTCGATCTGTTGGAAACCAATAAATGGATATAAATGGTGCTTCCGAACAACCAAAGCCTACATGAAACCACAAGATTAACGTCAAAGGGCATCGAGGCAAAGGGGTCATTCTTTGAATTATCATCAAACAAATCTGGATTCAAGGACTTACTGTCTTCGAGTGATCCCCACCAACTGACATTCTATCGGCACTTTATCAGTGATGAATTCAATTTTCACAACAGCTGTGACTTTGGCATTGAAAAGAATGTCAGAATGTCCTACAATGTACGCCCTTCATGTCCTATAGCGCCATTCGCCGCTGAATATGATCGAAACTCTTGCCCCCACTAGGCCGGGTACTACTGGTATAGTATTGTATAGTACCATCGTCTGCATATGATTGAAGGTTGACTCCCCAGTCATTATTTTTGTTGATGGATAGAAACAAGCGGCAACAGCGAGCCTTTCGTTGTTGCCACTCCTCATCAGCCTTCTTCTGCTTCTCTTCCCTCAGGGTCTCAAATCTCATCTTTCAACCAGGTTTGTCCAAAAGTTGGGAAAAGTTGGGAATATACTACAAATTCACAGGTTTCAAGTGGGGTATGTGTAATGATATGTGGTATGCCCCCCGTTTTCACACAAACCCAGCGTTGAATTCACCAGTCTCAAGTCTCAGCAGTGAAAGAGGTGCCAATCCCACACGATTTGGGGGTCAAACACGGTCAAACCCTACCCTGATTCACGTCAAAATAGCTGGCAAGAAGATCTTGATCCCCTCAAAAATATGGTAGTTCCATGCATTTCCCTGAGACATCCCCAGCAGTTAGTTTTCCCTCGCGGGTTTCGCGCCCTCCCTTCTTGGCTTCCCTCGCAACAGGATCTGATGGACTGCGGCTTTGAACTCTGCCGGCGGCTCGCCCATAACCACCTGGGATACCCTCTGGTAATGAGTTAACGGCAAACTGGAAAATCATCATGTTTAGTAGGCAAATCATCTATAAATCATCCACCGTTTTAAATCAGTTTAATAGGTAAATCATCTATAAATGGGCCAACTATACCATAGCAAACTCTTAAATCACCGGAGGGTACCATCCTGTCCCAAAGTATTTGAGGGTCCCAGGAATTGTCAGTGGGCAATAGCATGCAATAATCATACATCCCAGGAATTTGCCTCAGCAGTTGAGCAGTTCAAAACCCGTCATTCCGTCATTCCATTGTAGCAGTTACAGTAATCAAAAAAGGGACTCATATGGTACATCCCAGGAATCGAACATGGCACCCATGTTCGAAATGACCAGTTTTCATCCCCCAAGCCACGTCACAAGGTTTCATGACACAACTGAAGTGGGATGGTCATCGTGTTGTAACACGCATAGAACTGTCCATATCAAATCCTGTTTGGTAAATAGAGATTCCCATCGATGATTATCATTCCCTTGGTGACCTGCTCCCGCCTGGGCAACGAGCTTGAAGCCAGGCCGTTTGAATTTCCGGATGAAGTGTTGCCTGTCATTCCCATGTTGAAAATCCTGTGGATGTTTGCGAAATCCTGGGTTATATAATAGATATAATAGATGGTAAACATCCCTAGTCTAATCCCATTCTAGTCCCAGTGTTTCATAGGAATACATGATATAGTTGCCAACTGGTGCAGGATTTCGCAGCCTCTCGTCCTTCATCAGGTTGGATTTGATCTCCATCACCTTTCCCAGCAAGGGGCATGGAGGCAGTGGATACAGAAGCCATAGAAATGGGTTTTTGACCCATAAGGCTAGGTTCAAAGTTGGTTGTATAAGTTGTATACCTCAAAACGTTGGATACTTAGATGTCCAAAAGCCTGAGAACTGAAGGCTGCTAAGAAGACATTGTTGTGTCGAGTTTACCCTCTGGGAACTCCCACATTTCACAACTGTGGAGCCAGCCAGCCATCAAACCCTGGAACAAACACTCTGCCACAGCCGCCCAAGAACTGCCCAGCACTACCGGGCATCCCCAACCACATAGTTCCTGGGCTGCGTAGGTGCTACCACTCCCAGAATCTTTCGAGCCTCAGTCAACCCGACAACAGGGGACGCTGTCGCTCTCTTTCTTAGATTCTGACTTTGACAGGTGGTTCTCTTTACAAAGAAGACAACTGAGAACAATCCTATTGGTGTCCAGGCCCGTCCTTGTTTTTTTGCACCGGACAGAGGTCCCCTTGGCACAGCTTCAGAGCCAGTCAAAAAAGCCGGCCCCTGTGATACTCCGAGGAGCGCCAAAATCATCCAGGAGAGGCAGACCAGTCTGAAGGTCAGGTTTATCCTGGCAAGAAGTTGTGTCCAAGGCTCGCATTTCCCATCTGCCAATCCATTTAAAAATTTAAAGACCCAAAGTGTCAGGATTCCATGAGGATTCCATGAGGATTATATGGGATTTGAAAAAAAGGGGAAGATTCTACAAATTCCTGGGCTCATTTAAATAATAACTCCATGGAAGACCCACTGATTTCTCCCAGCAACCTACAACCTGTCATGCCAGGCTCCGGACGTTGCAATGCTTCCAGCTGTGATTCTTGTTCCGGAAGACGCCGCTGCGTTCTGCCCACCTTGCAACGACCACAGCCATGGCTCAAGGGGGTACCTGAGGTACCTGAGGTACCTGAGGTACCTCGACCCACAAGATTGGTCATCTTTAGCACTCCATCCCAAAATGATGGTAACCTTAAGCCATACGCATTGATTTATAATCTATAATATTATATATATGTATATATATATATTAATCTATATATATTATATATATATTATATTATATATTACATATATATTATATATTATATATATATAACATCATTTTACCCACTCTGGTGACTTAGTGGATGTCTTGTTTTTTTCGCCCCGAGAGGGGACTCTGCCCTAAAAAAAGAGATGGAGGGTCAACAAAGGAAGCCTCTCAAATGCTCACCTTTCTCCACCATCAACATGGTCCTCCTTCACCAGAAATCGGCTTTGGTGTTAGTAGCAACTCTGTGTGTAGAAAAAGGGATTCGTCCTGGATTCCTGACAACCAACATAGAACATGAACATAAGGTCTGGAAAATGATTTGGTTGATCCTCTTTTTTCAAACACTGCAATCTTGGCTTCATTTGGGCTTGTCCAATGGAGAGTACGAAAAAATAGAAACTAAAATGCAGCTCTCTGAGTCGGGAAAATGATGAGCCAAGGAATTCTGGGGTAATTGCCCCAGTTGTCGGAAAACTTTAAAACACGAGTTATTCGTGCGTCACCATAAAATATCCATAGTGTCAGTGTCACCCAGGTTGCGAGCAGCTCAAACCACGAGAAATGTAGCCTAATTTTCCTGCTGTGGATATACGCCCAAGTTCTATGGCTTTATACAGTGCCTCTATTTTAGGGTCACCCTTGAACCACTCAGAATCTCCCCATGTAATGCGCTGAGGCTTCCGAACTCGCCCATGGCGCGATCCGACAGCTCAACATACCTGTGTGAACGGCTTACGGTAAGACAGGGGGTCCCCATTGTCTTAGAATTTAAGAACAGACCAACATTTAACATGTATGATAAAGTGATATATATAGATATATATATATATTATATAATTATATATATAATTATGTATACACCATGTACAATCTACAATATAGAGGTACAATATACAATATACAATATATACATTTACATATAATTACATCAATATACAATATATACATGACCATATATGAGTGTCGGAAAAAAATTACTGGTTTGTCGCTTGTGCCATACACAAATAGGGTTGTCCCCTGTTGGTTGTGAAGGTTTTGCACACCCTGCCGCAAGACTAAGGCGAAAGTATACCAAAGTAGCAATACATATTTTTGTCGGTCACTCATCATATTTTTTAGGATGGAATACCCAGAACATCCCAGAACCCACATGAGCAATGATTCCTAGCGTCACATATGTTTGACAAACACGTGTCCCTGATGATGTTTTCTAAGCTTTCCTTACATTTCAAGCCAACCCAAAAGACTAAACAAAAAAAAAACAGTATATATATATACCTACATCTGCCTGACTGCGTTTTTCCTGTCAAATGTGCCTTTTTGGTTCAAAAGGCGACGACTTGTCCGACCACAGGCTCTTCGATGACCCTGGTGACACGGCCCAGGGCCCCCAGGGGCCCCCGGGCCTCGCCTGGGATTTTTCTTCAGAAAGTCATCCAGCCAATCAAAGGTGCCTTCGTCTGGTATGGCGATGGGAAAAATCACCTGAGCCGATTTTGAATGCCCGGTTTTTGGGCAACTCACAGAAAAGTTATTCGCCTCTGATCAAGCATGGCCAGCTGGGAAATCCCCCAACTAGCCATGGAGGTTTAGTTCGCTGGGAAAATCATCCAAAGTCAATGGGGTATCACCTGCAGATTTTTCTGATGCATCACCTTTCGGGCAGTGAGAGCCCATGCTTTCACCAGCTTTTTGACCCCCTAGATTTGCAAAATATCCTAGTAGAGGACAAAAGAAAGCCAATGCAGCCATAGGCACATATACATATATATATATACCCTGCATATTAAAGCCACCTGGTTCGTGTCTGCTAAAGATTCAAAATCAGGGCCGATCCAGGTAAGGCACCTCGTACTTCCCATCGCTGGCAGGGGCCTGGCTGCGGCGAAAGGTGATGTTTGTGCCTTCAGAGAATTTTTTGGATTGGTTGTAACATAGATGCAATGTAGATCTATCTATCTATTTATCTGTTTATATATGTATCTATTTATCTATCTATCCATCCATCTATCTATCTGTCCATCTATCGATCTATATTCTACAGCTATTGTATATGATATCAACTGAGAATATGTATATAAAAATGATATTAATAGAAGAAAAGTGTGTCTATATTCTACATATGTCTCTAATATATATATATATATACATATACACATACAGGGTGTGTATCAACTTAAAATGTATAATGTATTATATATATATGTGTGTGACATGTGTTTATAGAAATACTATTTCCATTCATGTTCATTCTAATATATACATGTATGCAGGTTACTAAGTACAACAATAAATATAACACTATATACACAACAGTAATACACTGTTAAAATAAGTATACTCAGATCTTTCTGCCTGGCATTCTGAGAGGAAAGCAGCACAGCAAACTGTTCCTGGGGTTATGGATCAAGTAATTTGGGCAGCAATAGACCCACAGATGTCTGTTTTCGTTGGTAGTGTACTATCCAATTTAGGGGTCCAGTGAAAAGTTAACGATTGATGCTGAAGGGAAACTAGGCTCCTTGGTTCCCTATTACTGGGGATATTATATGGGTATGGGTCGCAACCTATGGTACCACCATTGGGGGATTGCCATCAATAAATCCCAGCTAGATTTTGATGTTTACTACTGGGGTTTTGACTCCAATTTTTTATGGTTACTTGGTGGCTCATCCCACGAATCCTGAGTAGGTTAGTTGACCCTATATAGTTATAAGTGGAAAAAAAACCTGACTGACAAAACCAGGGATATAACCTACTTAGGATTCAATTTATGAGCCACCAAGTATGATACGTTGATGTTTACCAGCTATTTTGATGACCAGATCAGCATCCCTCGGGCTCCCTCCAGCTCCCTCCGGCACCACGCCGTGCTCCGCATCAGACGCTGGAGCCTGCAATTCCGCAGGATCCATCAAGAGTTCAAGGATTTTGTTGTAGGACGAAAGTGCTTGGATCCCAGTTGTATAGGAAAACCATGTTTTTCCACGCGATTTTTCCTATGAAAAACCGTTTCTACTTGATGGGAACCATGTTTTTTTCATCATACAACGTAGGGTTCTTTCATGCGATTTTGTGTGGATTTTCGACTGAACCAAACATATGGCGACAAGCGGAAAGTATTCAAGACAATTGTGATGTAACGATGAAAAGTATGCAAAACCAAACATTTGGGTATGGTCCAAAATTTAAGTTCGAGAAAATCATGGATGGGCTCGCCAAACCGGGCTTGAACATGTGGACATTGAACCAAAGACTAGCTGACTAGTATGACTAGTATCGAGCTAGCGCAAGGCATTAGACCGTTGTGGTCTTGATTTGCCTGCTTTGGGTGGGGCCGCTTAACGATGAAAAGGAAGTATGCAAAAAATGGTGAAAAATGGAGGTTTAAATGTAGGGCGTAGGGTTTATACATATATATATATATATATATACATATTATATATATACATATATATATATATCTTATATATATATACATATTATATATATACATATATATATATATTATATATATATATGTCTTATATTATATATATATATTATATATATATCTTAAATATATATATATATATCTTATATATATATATATATCTTATATATATATATCTTATATATATATATATCTTATATATATATCTCTTATATCGTATATACAATTATATATATATGTATACATATATAGTAGATGTATTCTGCGTGTAAGCCCTCTGAAGATCAAATCCTTGACTATCCATAAGAGTCTCAAGGGCCGCCTGCCAGGTGGAACACTTCCGTTGCTGCGTGGTGTGTTTTTCGGGGGTGGGAGTTGAACACCCCCATCCCATGGTAGCTGGGTGCTGTTTAATGTTGGGGTAAGGGATTGCAATCATTACATATATATATATATATGTATGTATCTATGTATGTATCTAGCTATCTATCTATCTATCTATCTTTCTTTCTTTCTATCTATCTATCTCTCTCTCTCTGTGCGTGTATGTGTCTACCACACATGTTTATAAATCTGCCCAAATCCCACTCAGCAATCTATGTGCTCATCCTGATGGCTGAAACCAGACACGCTGATGGTGCATTTTCATATCGTTTGCACCAAGCGTGTGTGAAACATGGAGGGCCGGCCGGATAGGAACACCCGCAGAAGCAATCAAGAAGATCGCAAACAATTTGTTCCATGCAAATACTGGAGCTTCAGGCCGCATCATCCAAAAACATCAGTACCTGGCTGTCAGCCTCGCTTCTTGCTTGGTCCAGTGCATGGAGTTAGCCACCTCCTCCACAAGCAGCTTCTCTACATACATGCCGTTACATGCCAATTGACGGTAACACCCCGCTGCTGTGCTGCTGCTGCATCCCACAACCAACGTCAGCGTGTGTTGCCAAACGCGATTGTTTTCTTTTTCCAGCGTCTTCTCTCAATCGAGTGGCTCGATATTACGGCCAGCTAGACCCTTTGATCGCAATGCTTCATTATCTTCATTTGTACCGGCCCTCTTTCATCTGCCGGATAGTCCGGCTTGCAAGTGAATCGCATGGACCCCTTGTTCTTTACACGCATGCAGCGGCTTTTCTTCAGACGCACCTTCACTACGTCCATGCACATTGACGGTAACACCCCGCTGCATTGATGCTGCAGCGGGGTGTTGCCGTCGATGTCCCCGGCTGTGATCGTGGTGCTGGCAGTCCAGAGCCCGCATAGAGGTTGCGCTGCTGCTGCATCCCACAACCAACGTCAGCGTGTGTTGCCAAACGCGATTGTTTTCTTTTTCCAGCGTCTTCTCTCAATCGAGTGGCTCGATATTACGGCCAGCTAGACCCTTTGATCGCAATGCTTCATTATCTTCATTTGTACCGGCCCTCTTCCATCTGCCGGATAGTCCGGCTTGCAAGTGAATCGCATGGACCCCTTGTTCTTTACACGCATGCAGCGGCTTTTCTTCAGACGCACCTTCACTACGTCCATGCACATTGACGGTAACACCCCGCTGCATTGATGCTGCAGCGGGGTGTTGCCGTCGATGTCCCCGGCTGTGATCGTGGTGCTGGCAGTCCAGAGCCCGCATAGAGGTTGCGCTGCTGCTGCATCCCACAACCAACGTCAGCGTGTGTTGCCAAACGCGATTGTTTTCTTTTTCCAGCGTCTTCTCTCAATCGAGTGGCTCGATATTACGGCCAGCTAGACCCTTTGATCGCAATGCTTCATTATCTTCATTTGTACCGGCCCTCTTTCATCTGCCGGATAGTCCGGCTTGCAAGTGAATCGCATGGACCCCTCTTTCCATTCAGAGCCACGAAAACTGGCAGATCCATCAGCTCCTGGTCATCTTTCTCCGTCGTGGCGCACTGCCATGGGACCCGAGATTCGAGCCAAAGAAATCGAGCCATGCATCGGAGCAGGGACTCTAAGCGGTACCCGAATCTCCAGCGATGCTCATGCGGCTGGGTTCGAACCATAGCTTCACGGAAACTGATGATTTGCGGATCTAGAGAACATGGGGTTTATCTCCCGTGAAGTCTGGTTCACCTGGCCCCAAAAAATGATACATGATGAATATAACACAACTATGCGGCACAACCAGTGATGCACGATCCCGGCTCAACTCACCACCAGGCCCCAATGGACCTGTCCCACCATGTGGCACTTGAAGGGCAAGGGCACCATGGGAGGTCCAAAATTGGCCTGCTGCGCTTCGACTTTGCTGCATGGGGGAGAAAAAAAATGGGCGGGCCCGGTCAGTTTTTCAAAAACGTGACCATCTAATTTCAGTATTTTGTTTTTCGAATTTTGACAGGCGGCATGTGTGAAAACTCCTTAGGCCCTTAACCCAAGCTCCCTCTGTTGATAGCTATGGGAAAGGGTATGGGCTTGGGAAATTGTTCAAGGTATGTCATAATCCTCAGTCTGAGGAGGCCAAGTCTGCAGAGCAGCAGAGTGACCTCGCTTTTGAAGGTTACTTCATTGAACTCATGAAAAGCTACATGCCATCGTCGCTTGTCACTTGCAAGGGAACCCCATACACCTGAAACGTTGACACAAAGAAAAAGAAATGGTTGTGAGTAAAAAAAGCGACTTCAAAAAACTCCAATCTGGCAATTATTCAACTGAACCACTTCAACTTTTCTTTGAATCAAGTGCTGAACCTGCAGTTCAAGGTACTCCAGCCCCACGCGCCATGGTCCCGCGCCTGCACGGTGATGTTCTTGAAGCACACATGGGGATACAAGGTCTTTCCACTCAGTCCTCGGACCAATTTCACAACGGCACATCCACGTGCCGGAAGCAACATCATATTGTATTGCTCTTCCAAGGAAATGTTTGTTTTGTATAATGTATGTATAATGTATGTATAATGTATGTATAATGTAACAATGTATGTATAATGTATGTATAATGTATGTATAATGTATGTATAATGTATGTATAATGTATGTATAATGTATGTATAATGTATGTATAATGTATGTGTATGTGTGTAGAATATCAATACATACTTTGAAATTATATACCAACATATGTGATCATATTTGTACATCATGGAGTGCCTACATGTACGTGTATGTCACATAATCATGATCACAATACCTATCACTGTCGAAACTCAGTAAAGGGGTCATGGGCCATGCTCATCCCAGAATAGGAAGCCTGCTGCTTGGCGCCTGCTGGTAGAGCCTGTGGTGGGGTGATGCGGACACCTTCCTGCAGGGTGATTTAGATGCGCAGGTAGTGATTTGGCAACCATTCAGTGATCAATTCATGGGATAAAATCGGACACCAAGATTGATCTGTTTACAATTTACTAAAGAGATCCAGGTTCCTTATAACAACATCTAGGTGATGCTGAGTCAATGGTGAGGAATTTTTTTCGCTGCGCACATTGCAATGCGGGACTGTTGACAGTGCTGACCGAGAGCCCAGTAGAAAAATGCGACGAAGGCTAGACACCCGCCAAAGTTCTTAAATCTCAACGGCGCATCACTCAAATTGAAAGAAAACCAAATTGGAAGACCCAAAAATGTTCAAAACACCACCAAAAAAAATATCTGATAATATAAGCTGTTTTGAATGCTGTTTTGAATGCTGTTTTGAACGAATAAGGGCCCAAGTCCGACTCGTTCCCCCGGGTCCCGGAAGAGGCTGACAGTGTTCTTGTTTGGACTCGACCTCGGATGGGAGTTCCTGACAGTTTTCATAATTTTCATGGCCAATCTTTCGACACATTTCGACACCGAAAAATTCTACCTGCTTAACTTTTAGTGAATCTAACTACCCCTCAAAGGTTTCCCCAGCCGGTAACCTAGATCACGAAGAGGGAATGTTATCGCTGCAAATCTCGAATGGGTTTCCCAGGGAGCTGCAGATTTTGCAGTACCCAATTGTAGTCGGGGTAAAGAGAACTCCATACCCAAAAAAGGAAGGGTTTTGGTCTTGGGTTTACCACATCAAATGAATGTGTCCTCAAATGCGGTTCCAATAATTTTTTCCCCTCGTTCGTTGGTGCGTTGGTACGAAAGCAATTCTGTTTCTGCAGCTTTTTGAAGGTCCCCCATTCTGTGAGACACCCAAATACTATGATATTGCCATACTATTTCCTGTAAAATAATATATATATATATTCCCATGATATGTCCATGTGATTCCCACAATATGCTACAATGATATTGCCATGGTTGACACCTCCAAAATCTACAGATTTTAGGTCGCCCAGATCCGCCCCAATGCCAGGTATCTTTTGTCCCCCAGGCGCTTCTCAGGTGCGTTTCACCCCTGCGCGAATCTGCGCTTGCTGGTCCAACAGTTCAAGCAAATGACCTTGGAACAGGCATCAGGGATAAATCATCAGGTGATGATTGAATCATGATGATCAATTCAGTCAGTTTAAACCTAGAACCCTAGTGACACCTTGGATGGTTGGTTCCAACCATTTCGGGATGGTTTCTTGAGGATTCAGGTCCAGGGACCAATGGCTGGGTGTGGGGATCAGCAAGAGTTTATGTGTCTATGTTTTTATTTTATGTAATGTTATCTTATGTCACGTTATCTTATGTCATGCTATCTTGTGTCATGTTATGTCCTGTCATTTCGTGTCATGTCATGTGAATGCATGGGCATGGCATGCCACCGAGGTGAGCGCTTCCTTATCCGGGTGCTAATTTGAAGGGACCAGCATGGCATGGTATGATATGTATGTTGTACGTTGTATGTGTGTATGTATGCATGTATGTGTGATCAATCCATGCATGCATGCATGTACGTGGTGCATACATACATTGCATTACATTGCAATACATTACTTTGCATTGCATTGTATTGCATTGCAGTGTATTGCATTGCATTGTATTACATTACATTTACATTACATTACATTGCATTGCATTGCATTACATTCACATTGAATACATTTACATTTACATTTACATTTACATTTACATTTACATTACATAACATTAAATTGCATTGCATTGCGTTGCATTACATTACATATATATATATATACACATGCACATATGGATACATATGGTATATGATTATTGTGGTAAAGCCAGAACAAACCCTTCCAATTGGAGGTTTATAATTGGTCTTACCACTACTAATTGTAAGAATGCCGTGGCTATGAGAATAGGGTCCCTATTCAAAATCCGGTGGTTGATCATCACATTTCCCTTTTTTTAACCAGATTAAACTGCTACAAATTGAGGTATCGATTGGTCCATAGCATCCCAAAGGTGTTTTTCTCCATATCCCCAGATCGGGCCCAAGCTGCTGTGAGACTGACCCTGCAGTCTCTGTCCCGGTGTCGGCACTGGACGTCGTTGTGGAGACACAGGACGTTCGCCACGTTCGCCACGTTCGCCACGTTCGCCACGTTCGCCCCGCAGCCTGAATGGCGGTTTCCCCTTAGCTGATGGACCCGAAAGAAAAGTGCATGTCTTTCCGAACGGCATGATCACTGGTCGAGAATGAGTTTCTACCCTCACATGTTCAATCATTGACATAGAGGTTTGACTATCATTGACAATTTTTTTTCATTGAGTTTCTACCCTCATCACTTTCCACTTCGTGTCTTATATAGCTTCCACCGCAATGTAAACCCAGTAGCAGGATCAGATCATTGGTGTTCGCCTGCACAGTCCTGGGTTACTGCGAATGTGTCTCCCTGAAGCAAAAAAACACCACCAACTTGAGGTCATATGGTTTGTCAATCCCCAAGTAGGACATTTCGCCCTGATCTTCATCCTTTCGTTTGTTGTCCTTTCCATGTTCATGAACAGCCAGAGCCCCTATAGTATCATAGTAACTGGATATAGTACGATAGTAATTGGATATACAATAATATACCCATCATGGTAATTGGAACACCTAAGTAATTGGACCTGTTCATACAGAGGGCCCTCTCCAGGAGTTTGTTATCAAAGGGATGTAGCCAAGTTCCATCCCCTGTTGCGCTAAAATCGAAAGACTCCGAATTCTGGCAAAACATATACCCTCCGGAAATTTTACACATAGATTTGTTTCCCATTTATGGATGATTCACCTATGAAAATTGGTGACTTTCTATACTCATGTTAAATTACCACAGGTATCCGTTTTGGAAGGATCACAAGATCCAAGATTGGCTTCGCGGCAGGCATACCACAAAAACGTCATGCGGATCAACGCCCCATGTTCTACTTCTAACACATCTATCTTCATAATGAAATTCGGTTGGGTAGGTCGTAATCCAAGCTGATGATTTTTATAATACTTATCAACCTATCAACCTATCAATCGTATCAACATATAATATGTAATATAACATAATTTAATATAATATAATATAATATAATTTAATATAATATCATATAATATAATATAATATACTTCAATATAATATACTTCAATATAATATACTTCAATATAATATACTTCAATATAATATACTTCAATATAATATAATTTAATTTAATATAATATGATATTATATTATATTATATTATATTGTATTATATTATATAATTTGATATAATATAATAATATACTATAATATAATATAATATACCCTCTGGTAAATAAACATAGACCCTGAAAATAGCCAATGTTTAATGGAAACTAGTCTTCCAACCCCTATCTGCCAGGGTCTATGTTAATTTACCAGAGGGTAATATACTATAATAAACTATAATATAATAAAATATAATATAATATAATAATATATATTATAATATATTATAAGATATTATAAGATAGTATAGTATATTATAATATATTTAACCTATCAGCATTTATATAATAGATGTATACCAGCATTATCTCATAGACATCCCAAGAGCTTCCAATCCCGGGTGGCTGGTGCAGGGCAGAAACTTGCAGCTCCAGCCGACTCAAGCATTCCGCATCGACTTGCTGGCCCTCCTAGGCCAAAATTCCTATGGCTAGATATGGAAATTATAGAGATCTATAGTGAAATCATGTAGATGTATAGGTAAATAGGGATCTAGGGTATGATCTATAGTGTAGGAATTCCAGAAATCATGGATTCATGGTAATATGGACCAATGATGGTTGATAGCGGTTCAGAGTGGTGAATAACGGTTATATAATACCTGTTGATGATGATTAATAGTGGTGAATTGTGGTTGTGCCGTAAACCCAATGCCATTAACAAAGCATTTGGGGATAATATCAACCACTCATCTTTGGTAATACCAGTAGTATGGTATTATTGGTGGTTGTTGATAATTGGTTTTGCCACATTAAATAGATATCTACATCTATAGTGATTCCCAGAAAGATAGAAAGGACAAATCCTACCAAAGTAATAGTGAAATTTAAATGATTACCTTTTCTAATATAGTAATCCCAAAAAAAAATGCTGAAAAAAGTGTTTCCTGGACGGTAGTTTGATCATGGTTTCAATGTGTTCCCCATCATTCCCAAGTGTTTAACTAGTCTTCTATCTGTGGGGGGTCTCTCTCTCTCTCTCTCTCTACATACATATGTATGTATGTATGTATATATATGTGTATCATATCAACCATTAAGGGAATGTATGAAATATGAACGAACCAACATGGAAATTTCCTGGCTGCTTGCCAGTGGGAAAATGATCTACAAATGCAGGGTTTTCCATATCTATGCTGGAGAGCATATCCTGTAGGGTAGGATGGATGTGGAAGCCAGTACTTTTTTGCCTCCAAATAGATCTTGTTCCTGGTGTTCCCAATTGTGGGACAGGAACGTTCAAAAATGTGAACATCACCAATGCGAATCAGCGCAAAAAATATTTCAAAAATGGGGAGACCACTGACAACCCTAATAGCATGGGTATATGTATATATATATATAGATATAATGTCTGGTGACTGGCTTCAAATTCTTTTCAAAAATCAGTCATGATTCCCTAATGAAAACAAGACGTCTCTGAAACCGCCAGGCAGTTTTTGTCTACCAAAAGGGAATTATCCGTGCCCTGATCAAAAGGGTTTTTACGAAAGAAAATGGGTTCTTTGACCTTGCGCCAACATAGGAATAACACCAATCACAAAACATGTCCAAAAATGCGGGCACCACCTGGTCACCAACTCATCAATACGAGATCACCAACAAGAAAAATGGATTTGAATAACTGGTTGGTTCGCGGTCTGAAGAATATGACATGGTCAACTGGGGCCGAGATCCAGCCTGCCTTGGAAATTGCATTGGCCGTAGAATCCCTTTCTCTAACATTCAACTCCCCAGAAACCAAAGGCTGGAACATCCTCTGGTGAATGACCAGCCACCAGCCTGCAACTGCAGGATTTCCGTTTGGGACTTCTGGGTGGTGCTCGATACCTCAGTGTGGCGTCTCTACAGTGAACATCCTATGTGTGAAGTAGGTATTCAATATATTCAATCATATTGATACGGAAAAATACATATATTATTGCGATATATTGCGATATAACAACATGATGGGTGTAAGGTGGATAGTGTTCACTCCAAAAGGCAAGAGTCGTCCCAAGAATAGGCATCCCGTTTCCATGAAGTCATGGTCTGCGTTGGCTACTTGGTCAAAACCTGAATCAGGTCCTCACTGCCTCTATTTTTCCATTCGGAGATCAACTATACCGTTATCCCCGCGCGGGCCATCAACATCACCTTTCGTAAGAGCCATGGCCGCTATGGAACCGCTGATGTCTCTGCGAATCGGGGGCCGAAGGGGTTTGATGGCAACCCCATGATCCGACCCTTTTTTTCGGTGAAAATTCAGATCCACTTTTTGCTGTTTAACATCCAATTTTTGCGGGCAAAATGCAGTATGTCTTTCTGATTTACAAGTGCAATTTTCTTGAATAAATTCCATTCTGGGTTCGTTAAAATTCACTTTTTTTGGTTTACAAGTACAGCTTTCTTCATTAAAAATCCCTTTTTGTGGATTAAATTCATTAAACTCCACTTTTCCGTGGCACCTGTCCTGCGGCGGGGCGTTTTGGTTGGCTGTTCAGACCCCTTTTTTTCTCCGAGAAGTTCTGCAGGGCGGTATGGTATCTCAAAGTTTTGTAGAAATTTCCATCCGGTGCCATTACAAGATGTATATGCGTGCATTCGTGTAAGGACACATTCTCTCTCCTCCCTCTCTCTCCTCTCTCTCTCTCTCTCTCTCTCTCTCTCTCTCGCTCTCTCTCTCTCTCTCTCTCTCTCGCTCTCTCTCTCTCTCTCTCTCTTTCTATATCTTCATCATCTTTAGATCAGTGCATAGTATCACACATCTGCTATGGGATTGTACCGAAACTATGTCCTGCATAGCGATGGGGGCCCTTTGACTTCAGAGGTCTATGTGGTGCCATGATGGTGCTGAGGGGTAGTCTTGCAATCAAATAGTGGAATTCTGATTCGTGGGCTGGTAGTATCAGATCTGTTTATTTAGACCTCTGAAGATCTTAGGGTTTCTTTCTATATTTATATATTAAATATATATATATATACATATATAGATATATACGATTTTCAATTTACGTAGATAGATGGAAGAATAAAACATAGAATGCTAAATATATCGATGCTACATGTGCATATACACGCAGATGCACGCACACACAGATAATACACAGATAACACCCAGATACCCCACACCGGTTCCCATAGCCGTCCTTGCACCTGACGGGGAACCGTGCGGGAATGTGCCATGTGCAGAGGTCAGGGGATGGGAATTGGGGATGTCGCAATTTAGCCAAGTGGAATGGCCATTACCTTTCGGTCTATCATCGTGCACAGTCGATTTTTTTAGGGGGTCCAGGATGTGAAGACTAGGCTATTAACTAGTCTTGCCAAATATGAATCTCGAATGAGCAGTCTTGAACTTGCCCATTGAAACACCTCGATTGCATTTCGCAAGTTGGATATGTCTCGTTACATGGCACATACAAGTTGCCTTTTGCAAAATTATTCGTCAATTTGATTCCGGGCCACTGATGTTGGAGGAGCCACAGTCCCCGGCCTTGCCTAGTTGTTTTCCAAGTACGCCACGAAGTGGCGCACTTGGTGTTGCACCGCTTGGACGTGCCGCCAGTGGGAGGCAGCCCTCCAGCCGATGGCCCTCAGCTTGGCCCTGCGCAAAACCACCCCCAGGTAGGTCAGGCGGTGGTTCTCGCGCCGCTCCCCCGCCACTTCCTCCTGCGATTTTCAGTCGATTTGCCGGAGGGCGTCAGGGGGTCTAGAATTGTATAGGTAGATATAGCTAGATTAGACATATATATATATATTTATTTATTTATTTAAAAAGATTTATTTATATACATATCTAGGTGTAATTATCATGTTCCTTTTTTTTGCATCCATCGATCTTCCTGCACTAAGAGATCTGTCGATCCTGAATGGTAGATCTTTACCATATGTATATATATATGTATATTATATATATATTATATTACTAAATATCATATATTATTTATAGAGCTCATAAACTCTGCTCTCAAGCCTTTGTCCAAGGAAATGTATCGGGTCATCGGTGATCAACCTATTTGCTCAAGCAATCTGTGTTGGGCGCGTAGGATCTAATTGATTGTGCATCATTCGTGTTATCAGTGCTATCTATCATCATGAATGTGGCTGAGCATCGATGCGTTTCTGTGTGGAGGCATGCTTTTTTTGTTTTTCACGTCGGAGGTCCTGCAGAGTCTGCCTCCGGCGCTGCACCGCTGAGCGCGGTGGGAGATGGTGGGAGCTGCCGGCACTCGCGCATGAGTTGCGCAATGCGCGGAGCCCTGTAGCCTAGTTGGCAGAGGGCAGCGCGAACACGGCCATCTGTCCTGTGCAGCAGCTTGAGCAGCTGCACCTTCCTTTGTACTGGTCCAGTCATGACCGTTCTTTTTTTCCTCTAGCTGTAGCTGGCTTCAGCTCGGTCGGTGGCTGCGGTTTTTCCTTATCAGTTCATCAAGCGCCAAATGGTTCATGGGCCCCACGCATTGGTTCAATGTTGTCTGTGTTTTTTTTGCTCTTTTTTAATATATATATATATAAATATATATATATTTATTTAAGGTGCTTTTTTTCCCATCGCTTCGAACACGTCGACGTCTGAGGCTGCGGACGTGCTGCCGAAAGTCGCCCAAGTCCTGGGAGAGGCCCGCCACGGCTTGGCCTCGGGCATCTGCAGTTGCCCAAAGCTGGTGATTTTTTGGGATTTTGCCAGAGGATTTGATCCGATTTTTATAGGATTTAACAGGAGGTCATAGGATTTATTAGGAGGTAATGGTGAATAGGATAGATAAGCCACTTGGGGGTGCAGGTGAGGGGTTGGTTCTATGGTCATAACCATGGTGAGTTCACCTCCATACGGCAAGATATAACTGCTATAACTATGGATATACATCCACTTACTAAGTGGGATGCACATCCAAGTAGGGTCATTGGATTCCAAAGAATACTGTCGGTTCTTTTGATCTGTAGGGAGCATATCCCACCCTTCTGTAGGGGAAATTGGAACCCTGATTTCAATGGGGATGTAGTGGCATATATCTAATCAAAAATGCATGATATATGGTAGTGTCTGAAAATAGTGCGACCCCACAAATAAGAACTTTAAGAGGGAAGACTATGATTAGTTGCTGAATTCTGGGGTGCCCTATTTTCAGACAAACCCTGTAACCAACGGAAAACAAGTGTTAATCATCGAAAATGGAATATTTATATTTAATCGTACAACAATTGAGATGTTGTAGGCTTATAGTTAAAACCCAGATATGGGTCAATCGATGGTGTGTGTGTGTATGTATATTATATATATATATATACCACCAGAGGAAGTTTAGTTAGAAAATTTCCGAGTTACGGACGTTGTCACGGTCAGCATTCCCACCTCATGTCAACCGTATCATCATGTCAACCACATCATCATGTTCGGAAGCGTGTGAATTCAGGGGTGAAAGGCGTTTCTTTTTCAGGTAAAGTGGCTCCTGGGGTCTCCGAAATAAGGTCTCTCGACCAAATGTGCACAGGACTGTAGCGACAACATGTTAAAATCACGACGCCAGAGCACTTTTGGAAGATGAGGTCGGCAAAAAGTGAACAGGACTGTGCCGAGAGCTCGATGTCACACAAAAGTCATTAAAAAAAGGGCATTCTCGGAGTAGCGCGGAATCGTCCCCATTGTCAGCGCTGCGTGAGCCTTGGTCGATTCAGTACAACGCTCCTGCTATGCGGGTTTTCAACCGGTGACAAAACGCATTGGCACGGCTGCGCGCAGCAAAAAATGAGTGATGCTGTGAAGCTCCTGGCAAGCGGGATTGCTGGAGCAGCTGGAGGTTGCTAAACGCTTGGTAAAAGCTGCGCAAAAGGTAGTTTTTCACCATAATACTGTTCTTGTGCTTTGGGGAATCGCAACTAGACGTTGCAAAACGCACTGTACTGGCTGCGCAAAGAAAAGAATTGAGCTGCAGAAGCGAAAAAAGTTAGCTGGGAGGCAGCACAGAGCAGAAGTAGCCCAGATAAGTGGCGGATGAAAGGAGATATGATATGACTTTAAACAACAAAAATGGGGATGTAGCCACCTAAAGCCCGGGATTCAATGATCCAAGGGGCTGAGAAGTTCTTGGCTCTTCTTCCAGTCTGCATGACTTCCCTGGTCGCCAAGCGTTGGGAGCCAAGGGGCATAGATGGCCACAAGCGCTCAAAGGGATTCCTTTGAATTTAGAATTAAGTTGGAAAAACTTAGAGTCTCAAACTGGCCAATTTAACAGTTTGTTTTAAAATCAAAATGCCATTGAACCATCCCCTAGTGGAGATGGTCCAAACCCCTCAGTTCTCAGCGCACACGTTCATGTTGCCTTCAGCACCTATCACTGTCATCCCACAGATAGTTCTTCAGTCCTTCTTGTGGGTCAGAGAGGTGGCGTACCCGTACCCCAAACCCTTCAACTGGGGACCTTGGTGATTCTTCTCCGCTGTTCTCCATCTGATGAAATGGCCTAATCATCCCACATCACGAAAAAACACGAAAATCATGAAAATGTCTTCATCTCTCCCTGTTGGATTACTATAATCCCGAGTATATTAGATAGCAAAAAGAAGTTTAGAAGTCTAAACTTCCGTGTAACGGAGTTTCACTACAACAAGCACTATCACAACCAGCACTACAAGGATTCTGGACGCAAGCACAAGCAAGCTGACATTGAATTTGGGATTGTTCAATCATGTTTATTCAAATTTGGCCGTCGTGGCTCATTCACCTGCCAATGATTTTAATTGCCTAAGTCGGGCAATGTGGTGCAAATATGTTCAAATTCTGTTCTTCTTGATGTTTGAATCCGCATTTCTGGTGGATGAAAATGATGAAATCGCTAAATGTGTGTCCACGATGGTGTCCAAACATGGCTTAGTCCCTGCCGGGCCCGTCGGACCGGGGGCCATGCTGGAGTCGCTGCTCTGCACATCTGTCCAAGGAATTTTTAATATACGGTATACCCCAAAACTTTATACCCCAACTTTGTTTATTGGCTTTATCAAGCTTATATAATATATGGGCTATACTTTTCCAATTCACTTTATATCCCAAAATAGCAGTTGTGCAGGCAGGGTAGCTGGACACCCTCAAATAACTGCAGTCCAGGGTTCATACCCCAGCTTCAGGGGTTAAACATGGGATAAACAATGGGAAATTTTTACCCGGCAGTGGAAAAAAACAAAAAGTATCTGAAACTGAAAACCAACCAAAATTCCAATTGGGTGGAAAGTAAAATATGTCAAGAATTTTTTTGGGGTAACCCTGCGGAAATTGCAGGGGATAAGGGGTTGGTATGTTTTTCAGGGAAGTCTCCCACGAAAGCTTCGTTTTCAACTCTTCAACTTTGAGCGTTTGAGGGATGTCTCGCGCCAAAGCTTTGTTTTCAGATCTTCAACTTTCAGTTGTTCAGGGAAGTCTCGGACGAAAGCTTCGTTTTCAACTCTTCAACTTTCAGTGTTTGGGGGAAGTCTCGCACGAAAGCTTCATTTTCACATCTTCAACTTTCAGTTTTCAGGGAAGTCTCGCACGAAATGCATGTTTGGTAGGCCTTTGAGATTTTGCTGTTTTTTCTCGTTTTTGGCGCCTTTGATTTTCCTTTTCAAAATCCTTTTAAGAAGCCTTCAAAATCGTACTTTTTATGGCTCTGGCGCCAAGATCCGGTTTTGGAGCAGGTTTTGGGCCAGAGAAGACCTAAGATGATCTGAGAGTGAGCTGAGAAGGGCTGAGATGAGGTGAGCAGAGCTGAGAAGAGCTTGGAAAATGTGAGAATGAGAGGATGGCACAGGAATGACAACTCATGAGCTTGTTGCTGCAAATCACAGAAGGCTTGCCGACACCCTATATGCACAGTCTTTGTTCCGCTCTATAGGCTATAAGCGTTTCAATTTTTGAAACTTCCGCCCCCGGCTTGCCCGGGTACTACTTGTATAATCCCATATAATCCCCTATAATCATCAACCAGGGGGAAGAATTTCTCACCCGTCCCTGCCTGCAGATCTTTCTGCAAGGCATTGGAGTGGCCGTGGAGAATTTTCATGGCCTCATCCACCTCCCCGAACTTGGCTAAAGTCATCTCCTCCGCCGGGATGAAGCACCGTGGTTGTAAAATCCCGAACAAAATGGAGGGAAAGTCGGGGAAAGTTGAAAAAGTGTCGGGAAAAATTCATGGAGATAATGTCTTGATATATGGGGTTCAAGAGAATACGAATCCAGCATCATGATATGCTCATATCCCTAGTCCCTATGGTTAGGTCAGTTCCATCCCTTTCAAACCACGGCTGGGGAAGCCGGGAAGCCAACCATGTGCGGATACCATTCCATTAACCATTTGGGGTCATGTTGTTTCATCCCAAATCAGGGTATACCCAATAATAGTCTAAATAGGGATGGTCTATCATTGGGTTTATCACACATTATATATGTATAAGTAAGTGTATATACACATGTATCTAAAGTATTCTAAAGTTATAAAGACAGATAAATATGTAAATACAACCATAGATTGCGTCCAACCCACGAGAGTACCAACATGTTGTTCTCTGCATTCGGCCCTGAAAAAAATCCTTGGTGCTTGGTTAAAACGGGATTACATGGATTTATTTGTACCACTGACTATGATCAATAGGAACTCCTACATCCCCAAAAAAGGTCCCGACTCCTACCCAAGCTTGGGTCCATCCCCGCGCTGTCAACCAATCCCAGTGGAGCATGTAACCATGGGGATTCTCACAATGGGGTAGTTAATGTTAGTTATGTTAGTTATAAGAATCTCTAACAAGTAGTATCATTTTAATCTTGGTGACCAATCAAGTAGATTTGTTTTTATATGCGCTCACATGTCTCTGAAGTCTCAGAGGATGTCGAAGTAAAACCCCAGCCAATTTGAGGTTTGCATACCCAACACTGTCTCATCACTATTGACCCATCCCTACGGTTCGAACATGGTAAAACATGCTACATGTAGCAACTGAAAATCAGAGCTTGCCCAGCAGCGGTTTCATCAGCATCGGCGACTGAATCCCTAATGGATTGAAACAAATCCACTTTCATGGGAAGCCAACACCCATGTTTTGACCATGGCATGTCTCCTGAACTTCTCGTATGATGCGATAGAGCTTACTGATCTCCAAGCCGGCAGAGCTGCGTGCAGCACTGTTGGGAACTGGGCTGCGGGCTACTGGCGAGCCTCGGGGTCACGGATGTCCACTTTGTGGGGGTAAACATAGTTTTTGGACACCACGCAAGGAGACAAGTTGCTTTTGGCTGTGTAGTCTACATATGTGTATATATATATATATACACATATGCGCAGTTTATCTATATAGTATATATATATTATATATAATTATGTTTTTAAATGCTTTTAATATATACAGTACATGTTTGAGCCTCCCATGTTTCTAGATGATTGATGACGTTGATTCAGATTTCATGTCTGTTCAGATGCTTCTGAAAGTTTACAGTAGCAGACTGCAAAACCCGTTGTTGTGAGGTTCAGACACGTTTTGACAAGCGGTTTTACCTTGCTTCAGACCGTGATGAATCAGGTAGTCATAGCTCGCAAAAACATGCAAAGGCCTTGTTCGTTAGCTGGTCAGTGTCTATGTGTATATATATATATATATACATTATATATATATACATAATATATATATACATAATATATATACATAATATATATATACATACATACACTATGTATACATATTTATATATATATTACAGGTTTTCTTCCATTTATGAAAAGAATAAGAGTCCCTAAACTACGATTCCGTCCAGCCTCCAGTGGTTTGCCAGGGCCCCCAGCCTTCGCTGAAAGGATCTCCCAATCCCAGGTCCTCGGGCAGGGGGAACGACCAGCTGTCGATGGATGCCATGGGATTTCATCCTCTGGTTATGACTAACAGTTCGCCATGGTATAGATGGCCCATAGAAATAGATGCTTTACCTGGGTTTACCTATTAAAAATGGGTGGATGTTAGTCATAACCAGATGGTATCTATCATATTCCTCCACATCATCATGTGGTAAATCATTAAATCCAATCTAATATCATCCCAGAACAGGATGGTCACCAGGTTGGTGACTAGCCCCGACTTCGTCGGATTTTTTCTCAGGGATCAACCAACTCAATGAGCCATGTTCATCCATGAATTCCACAGCTATGTTCGGGGATATACATGGATATACCTCCAATTTAGATGGCTTGGAATATTCATGGCTTTATACTATATATTACGAAATATCAACATCTACTAAGGTATATACTAAGGTACGCCAGGTATGTGATGGCTTTAGCTGGTACTACCATGTACTAAGTTAGTACCTCCCATTTTGAGGCTACCAAAAAAGGGCACCACGTTCCATCGACGCAAGGACGTTCCACCTGGAGCTCCGTCAGGTTGGTCTTCACCTCGACGCTTTTTTGGTAGGTCGGCACCTATGGGTTGAGGGGATGGTTGGTGGAAAATCATGGGAAAATCATGGGAAAATCATGGGAAAATCGAGGAAAATCATGCTTGATGATTAAGAATTGGAATTGAGAATGGAATTCATGACGAAAATTCTTTATGATCGAATATATCGAATTAATGATCATAGTCTACTAGTAATTTTCATAATGATGGCGAATACAATGAATACAATATGTCACTATGTCCAATAATTGGAAAATCCCATAGTTATGGAAGATGACAATTCCCAGTATCTTGGATCATATAAATCATATCACGCCCTACAAGCATCAACCAACAGGCCAACAGGGGCCGGGAACAACAGTGGAACCACGCGAATTAATCATGAGGATGTGTCTTACCAACAAAACTTGGGGGTAGTACAGTATATTTCATGATAAATTTGACCACTTGAAAAGCATCGGTTTTCACTCTCAATTTGACAGGTATATGAATGAATATGAGGTGTTCCAAGCCATCATCCAGTTCGGGGAAGCCATCCAGGGACCCCAAATTTTGGGTATGGCACTGTATGGCGTATAATAAGACGTTTTTGTTAAATGATGCTCAAATTGGATATGGTTTACTTTTTTGGATTTACCACATCACACGACTTGACATTCAGCAAGGTGTGAAGCCCCACGAACTACTCAGTGGCTATTCATTCATTCATTCAGTTCCTGCACTATTGGGATTTCACCATTACCAATGGCTAGTACCAAATCGGCACTCACGGGTATCCACAAGAACTCAGCACTCCCAAACTCGGCTTGGTGGTTTCGGTATGTTTCGGTCAGTGCCTGGATCTTCATCTCAGAAACGCTGCGTTGCAGATCTGCCATGGTCAACTTGAGATCCGACACCTGCAGCGTAGCTCGGAAAAGCCATTAGAATTGGAAGATGATGGACATAGCTCGGACATAGCTCGGACAATCTGCTATAATATCTATAATTCTATGGTGGTAGCCCAGTAGCCCATCATCTTAGTGCACTTCAGATGTGGTCGCTGACAACGCATCTGTTGCTGAATCTGCTGGATGGAACCCATGCAGTGTCGCTTGAAGTCGTTCAACTCCACATTTTGTGCGCTCACTGACTCTCTCAGCACCTGCGGATACCCAGCCAAGGCAAAAGGCCACAGTTCCGTGCATGGGAAGGGTATTTGAGGTGGTCAACCAAAGTATCACCTCACAAATTGGAAAAGTTAGAAAGGTTGACCCAGACTCCAAGAGATTCAGTGCACGGATCACAAGCAGGTCGCCTCCAGCTCAGCTTTCTGGTGGTACTTCGCTTGATTTGCATGTTGCTGCAACTCCGACAACCACTGTGCCTCGGCCGTTCTGCCGGCTCTGGCCGTTTTTGAAACATGGAAATCCCGAAAGAAAAATCGTGCTCTGGCTCTCCCAATACAGTACATTCACTTTCCACTGCTTTCCCTTGAAGCTTTCCTCAATGGCCATGGGGGGTCATTGAGGTTGTCCCATATTTATAGAGACGGACCCGTCTCCCATGAAATGGGGGGATTTCCTATTGCGAAATCAATTCCTGCTGGTTACATCAGTATATAATATATCATAGTTATGGCATTAGCTCCTGGCTACAACATCAGTTTTGCTGGTGAGCTAGTTACATCATCTATAATATGTACACATAATTCTATGGATGTATCATCATATATTTATATGCTATCTATCTATCTATCTATCTATCTATATATATGTGTGTGTGTGTTATATTCGACATATATATATAACATACATATGTAACATATATGCAACGTATATATAACATATATATATAACATATGTATATATGACATATAATATATATATAACGTATAATATGTATATATAAGATATAAAATGTATATATATATAACATATAATATATATAATATAATATAATATAATATAAGAAAATATAAGAAAATATAATATAATCTAATCTAATATAATATAATATAATATGTGTATATATATAATTATATATATACATAGCATATAATATATATAACATAATATATATATATATAACTTATATAACAGAAATAATATAAATATATATATATGTTTACAGCATTTATAACATTTATATACATGACTTGACATATATACATATAACATGTATATATATATACACATAACATATATATATATGTACATATGCATATATATATATGTATATACATAACATACATATATATACATGACATATATATATACATAACATATTTATATATATATATATCAACACATATATATATATATACATAACATATATGTACATAACATGTGTATATACTGTATATATATATGTATACACAAAACCTATATGTACACAACCTACATATATATAACATATCTATATCTATATCTATATATAACATATATATGTACACATCACATATATATGTATATGTATGTTAGATTCACATGCTTATTTAAATAATCTACCATAATCTATCAACGAGCCACATAGGCCAGGACGGTGGAATCCACGTCCGACAAAGTCGTGAAGCCGCTGGCGTTGGTGGCGCTTGGCGATGCAGTGAAAGGCCGACCTACGGAGCCATAGCTGTAAAAATCCCTTGGGATCTGAAAGAAAATCCCTTGGAATGGGCGGATCATGATGATTTAGTGAACTATGATGGAATATGATATCCATAGTTCACTAAATCTCATTCTGTAATTTTCAATCATTTTGAGAGATTTAGTGAACTATGTTGGAATATGTCCAGAAATGAAGGCCTGCGGCTCCATCCTGCTCCGCCATGGCTGTCGCGGGAACGCGTTTGCGCCCCGGTTGGCTGTGGTGTCAACTGCTGAAGCGGTAGCTGGGATTGCTTAACCGCATGGGAATGATATGAGACACTCCGAGATTTGGTGCCACTAAATCACCAACTCCAACATGATGCGTTTTGAGTGATTTCGAGGTGGATGCCTCGATGACACATTGCTTTTTTGTTACTGTCTATTCAAGAAAGCTAACATCAAAATGTGCTCTGCTCTATTTCAGAATCGGGTTCTTCAAGTACGGGCGTTCAAGCTGCTCGTCCCTTATGCTCTGATCCCAAGAATCACTTCAAAGCTGTGAGAACATGATGCCAGGACATCATGGTTTTCCTCTTGAACATCTGGATCTTGGGAAATTCAGAGATCCAGTGAATCGGAAAATATCGAAAATCATCTTCAAACCGCAGTTTTCGATACAGTACCTCTTCACTGATGGGTCCCTAGCTGCAATCCGTTTTGCCCCCAAGAAAACCAGGGGCACAGCGTTCACAGAGTCCATACAAGAAGTAGAGTGTACCCCTAAATCCATTGGATCTGTGAAAATAGCTGGGGGTGTACACCATTTTCAACATACCCCAATATACGTGTGTATATATATATATATGTAATATGTGTATGTATATATATATATGTGTGTGTCTGGTCGATTACTGAAATATCCCATTCTATCCACAGTACAGTAACTGATGTTCTATCCCGTTACATCTTTCATAAACCGAAGCGTTAACCAATGTTCTAAGTCAGTCAACTTCTGGGTCGCCGCACTGGTCCAAGTTCAATAGGACGGCCTGGTGATGGGTTGATGTCATCGGATGACTCTTGGAAATCAGCTTAAGCAAGTCATATATATATATATCATTATAACATATCTATAACACATATAACACATATACAATATAATATATATATATGTATATGATTATGGATATAAGTTTGTCATCTCATCCAAAGTTGGAGTCACGTGATGTTTTTCTTACGTTGTCATTCCCAAAAGGATCGGGCCAGGGATGGCTACTGGTGACTGGAACCACTCGCAACTGAGATATCTTGGGGGATGAGGGTTACATGTGTTTAACAGCAAGAAGTCAACACTGGTTGGTGGTTTCACCCCCTCTGAAAAATATTAGTCAGTTGGGATGATTATCCCCAATATATGGAAAATAAAAAATGTTTGAAACCACCAACCAGAACAAGTATATAATTCCATGGTCTGGAAGTTCCCCTACTGGCATCATGTCCCAGTTGAAGTTTTCATAGGGGACACCGAATCATCCAAGAATTGTCGCTTTTCATTGGAAAACACGTAGTTTTGGGGTACCCAATGTTGAGAAATGCCGGTTTCCAACTGACACATGGGGTACCGTGTTTGCAGGTTTGCAGGGTGCTCCAATTTTGAATTATACCGCCCTGGGGATACTGCCTTTTTTTCCAGTTGGGAGGAACCTGCGGCTAAAAACACCAGCTCTTTTCGGGTGGTGGTTCAGAATATCTCCATTGATCATCATTGATCTACCAGTTTAAGGAAAATAGGGATGTGTTCAGATCCATTTTGAAATGACCATCGCCTAAACTAAGGTGGGTCCTTAGTTAGGTAGGGACCCCCGTACCTGGTCGCGCCAGCTGGGGTCCCAGCAATCACCTGATCTTTACACAGCCGTTGAGACATCGGAACTCGCTGCTTCCCACAGTAGAAGAAGCCTTCGGCGCAGCTTGTTGAGACGTCGGCTCAAGCCCTGGAAGATCACGTGTGGTTGAAACAATGCTATCAAAACACCTTTCCTTCGGGTCATTGAAATATGGTATTTCACGGAACTTCAAGCGCCTAGCTCCTAGCTTTAGGGTGTGGATTTTGTCCTCAGAATCCTGGATGTGGTTTACTGCACCCACCCTGCTATTAGATCATTAGATCCCAAGCGTGAGGAAATGTGTTCATGTTGTGATGGTCACCTATGGGAGTGTGGATGTTGATCATGTTGATCCATCCTTATGTTATTGATGTTGAAAAAAGGGAGAAATAGTTCGTTCCTACCTTTTTTCTATGCCAAAAGATGGTCTCGAAAGCAAAAGACATCGGTCAACTGGGGATCATGATTGGGTATGGGTCAACGCTCTGGTATCCTGCTCTGAAATCTTGCCAGAAAATTGCCATGGGCTCATCCAAACAAGAAGCCAAGGGTCATTTGGTCTTGACATGTCTTGATGCTGGCTGGATGTTCATCCCCGCACGGGACTTGACATCCAAGGAGAACCATTGGGCCCAGATCATACCAGAAATCTAAGAACCATTTGCCCTTTACATACCACACTGGTCATATATGCATATATATATATAACTGCATAATACTAGTATATCTATCCCAGTATATCTATCCCAGTATATCGAATCATATCCCACTATATTCCATTGTATACATATATACGTAATTATATATATACATCCCCATCTTGTCCTCGTATGATCCCCATTATGGCTGCTTCAACGGCCCAAACGTTTCACCAGATGTTTCTCCAAACCTTCGGAATCAAAGCAAACGCTCTCGTCCGTCTCCAGCAAAAGAGGTGCATCCTGTGGCTCCACAAATTTGGGCGAAAAAAAATTGTGTCGTCATTCAAAAGGAGCATTGAAATGTAATGAAAATAATGAGAAGATGTCATACAATTGGGATTAATTGGGAAGATTGAAATCACATTTCCTTGAACTTCAATGTTACATGTTAAAAAGAAAGTTGACTACAATCTTCCCATCACCAATTGAAAATGGTGATTTGAGCAACAAAAATGGGGTAACCAGCAATCAAACATATCATCACTTAGACTTATCTCCGCTTTGAAATCCCAGAAACCTTCCGTACAAGGGCCAGAATGTAGGGTCACCCAGGTAGTGGCCTGACGATGGAACCAATGCGAGATTGCCATTTCCAGGCCTCATATTTTGCCTGGATAAGGCAAGCATCTGATCAAAACTAGGCAACAAAAATTGGGATAACTATGGATAACTTGTAATTGCGGCCAACCATCACGCAGAGTGGGAGCTGGAAATCCGCCGGGTGGCGCCATGTTGTGAGGTTCCCCAGAAATCATCAGAAATCTCTCGGAAGATGAACCAGTGACTGGGTGGCCTCTAACGATGTTTGAAACATGGGAACATCACCCCAGCGCCCAGTCCAAGGTAGAGAAGCCCAACTTCAAGAGCTGCCGAGGCCTTGGTGAAAATGCCACATCGGGAAATCTGTGGAATTGCTCTGAGGTTTATCCCCTGCTATAATCACTATTCTTTGACCTGATTTATTTGCGGAAAAAAGAAACTCTACTCAATGGTTCGACCCAAAAACTCCGAATTTTCGAACTGCGAACAGTTACCAGGTGGTCCAAATTCTTGCACCCAAAAAAATCTCCAACAGACAGACGTGACGTGACATGATACACGCAAGGCAATTGGCAGGGTGGCGGATTAGACCACTGGCCTCTACAACTTCCACAAGCCCCGACTTGGACCCATGGCCTCAAATAGTAATTCAAAAAATCGCCAGATAAAACCGTTTTAGTTGATTCCCAAGTTGGATCACTTCATCATCCCAATCAAACAAGTCTGTACACTTCAACAATTCACCAAGCTGAAGTAGGGCCTCCTTTCGATGCTTCCCTCACCCCACAGCTCGGCAGCGGCACATGGGCGTCCGGTTTGAGCGTTGCAGCCCTTCGGAGGGGTTCAGCGTCTCGATCTGCGAGCACCGTGGGAAAACCATGGGGGGATCCAGATCCACGTCTTGTATGGTTGATCTTCGATGCCCTGTTATATGTGTATATATGAGCCAGGTCCCAGGAACCCCACACCCCCCCAATGGTAACCTGGAAAATTTGCACACGAATTCTAGTATTTGGGACGCACAGCCTCCCATTAGCATCCCATGCATACGTTATTTGCAGCATTTGAGAGCCACAACCTCGTCACTGGACCCTGTCTAGCTGTATATTTCTAACATATCAATCTAAATCTAGCAGAATCTAGCACATACTACCCAAAACCTGCTTATGTCCTCACACATGGTTTACCACTCATTGTATGCCTTTATGCTACATATTTGCTACCTGTAGATTATATACTCAAAGAGCACATATTGATATCTATTATAATCCTACATACTTTATGCTTGGCTGCAGTACCAGTATATGTATATACTATAAATACTATATAGTATATATATATACTATATATAATATACAAATTATCGACTAGCATTACATACCTAAATGTACTATATACATTGCCTCATCACTACCTATATACTTCTTACATCTCCTTACACCCTACATATACTACCTACACATGTTTCATATCGTGCCTATACGACTCATTGCATAGCGTGCCCATATACTATACTGTATCCATATATATATACTCCCTGTAAAATCCCTAAACACTCTCCATATACTCCCCCATAAACTGGACATCAAGCACTTACAGCTGCACAAACACTGCCCATGTAGGACTGTTGTTGTTGGGAACCTCCCCCAAGGCCACAGGGGGGAGGGGGGAACCATCTGGTTGGGGGCTGTGGTGATCCTATATAAGTTTAGTGCGCCCTCTGGGGCCGATATCTTTATACATACAATAAATATAAATATATATATATATATCATATATTATATTATATTATATTATATTATATATTATATTATATATTATATTATATTATATTATATGTTATATATATATCAATTTCAATGTTTATCTATATATATATTATCTATATCAATGTCTATCTATCTATATATATATATATTTAATTTATCCATCTAGCGAAAGATACAGATCTAAAAAAGTGTGTAACAACAACTACCTGAATATGACTCAACAATGCCAACTGGCATGCGAAGTGGGTCACGCCGTGGATCTGGGCTTCTGGCCACCTTTACTTCGTAGAAGTATCGGCCTCGATGATCAACTCTGGCTGCCCGGCTGCCCCGTTTTCAACCCTTGCCATACAAACATATCCTGTTCGCTGAGTCTAGACATACAGCCAGATTAGCACGACCTACATTTTGTATGGGGGCCGGAATTGTTTTGGGATTTGTTTTTCCGCTTTGGGATTTTTTTTGGATCTGCTTTTCTACCCGCTGTCCTTTCTATTTGCAGCATTTTAGAGCTGGAAGCTGCCATTTCAACTGTCTTTGCAACATTTTGGAGTTGGAACCTCTCATTTTCCATACAATTTGCAACATTTTGGTGGAATGTGTAACATTTTGGGGCTGGAAGCTGCTGTTTCAAGGTTATTTGCAGAATCTTTGAATTCGAACCTCCCATTTTCGATGGAATTTGCAACATGTTGGTGCTCGAACTGTTCATGTAACATGGTAGTTCTCGACTAGGTTCATTGAGGTTTGGTTTTAGGGTTAGTTTCGGGGTTTTAGAGTTAAGGTTTATTTAGGATTTTTTTAAGGATTGGTTTGGGATCTTTTTAGAGTTTGCTTTAGGGTTTATTTAGGCTTGGTTTGAGACCTATTTATGGTTGGTTTAGGACCTATTTAGTGTTGGTTTAAGGTTTGTTGAGGGTTGGTTTAGAATCTATTTAGGCCTGGTTTAAAAATCTGTTTAAGGTTGGTTTGTAGTTTATTTAGGCTTGGGTGAGCATCTGTTTGGGGCTGGTTTAGGGTTTGTTTAGGGTTTTTCCAAGCTTTGTTTAGGAACCATCTAGAGGTGACCTATTCAGGATTGGTTTAAGGTGTGTTTAGCGTTGGTTTAAGATTTATTTAGGTCTGGTTTAAAATCTATTTAGGGCTGGTGTAAGGTTTATTTAGGATTAGTTTCAAACTTATTTAGGGACTGTTTAGGGTTTACTTAGAGTTGCTTTAGTGTTTCTTTGGTTGGTGTGGGGTTTATTTATGTTTGAATTAGGGTAATTTATATGAATTATATGATCTGTCTTAAGGATTATCTGCAATATGAGAAACAAAAAAAAGCGGGAATAGCAGCAGAGAAGCAGAGAAGCTGGAAAAGCAGAAAAGCAGGGAAAAGCAGGGAAAAGCAGGGAAAAGCAGAAAAGCGGAGGCAAAGAAGCAGAGAGGCAGAAGCAAAGAAGCAGAGAAGCAGAAAAGTGGAGAAGCAGAGGCAAAGAATTACATAAGCAGAGAAGCAGGGAAAAGCAGAATAGCAAAAAGCAGAGAAGCAGAAAAGCAAAGAAGCAGGACCCAAAACGGAAAAAAAAAAAATTGCCCTCCTTTTGTATATATTGGATTTGTTTTATTATTTGTATGTCTATTCGCATGTGTGTGTGTGTATCTACATAATAATCATAATATGGAGGTTTCCTGAAATAGGGCTACTGTACCCCAAAATCGACCCATTTTAGTGGGCTGTTACTTTATAAACCATCCAGCTATTGGGGGTACCACCATTTTTTATTGGAACTCTGAGCTGCAGACCTGTTTTGATGCCGACCTCGGCGTTTTCGTGATTTTTGTTGGGAGCCTCAATGGTTTTCTTAAGGATGATGTATATACTTTACATGTAGATAACATGTGGTAAAAACATGTAAAAACATGAAACATATCTTGGTTTTCGTACATGTCGTACATGTCGTACATGTCGTACCTGTAATAACGATGTCTTTTTACGTCCGTTTTTCGGACAAATCCCATGTCATTTTCTGCGATTCACCACAAGGGCCGCCCCAGGCATCAAATGGCATCGGCTAAAACATGAACCAAAAAAAACGAATGTGGCTAACATCCATTGTTGGTCGACATCCCATTTACTGTGGTAAACCCAATAGTAAACAATCCCATTAACCAACCATTTGTTGGTCATTATCATCCCAAATAATGTGGGTAAAATAATGTCATAAACCATCCCCCCAATCATCATTTTTATAGGTGGCATATAAAAACCATTCCCAGTCATGGCTGGTTTATGGCATCTGTTAGCTTCATGGGTTAGCTTCATGGTGTCAAGACCACAAGCGAATTGAAGCTATTCTCAATGGCATTGTTTTACCCATATGGTTGCAAAATGGTTCACATCCAGAATGTACCAGCTATTTTGATGTTGCAGCTAGTAAGCCCCAAAATTCAGACCCCCGGGCCCCACATGGGTGCTCGAGCGTTGCAACGTGCACCTGCCATTAGGTATTGCAAACCGCCCTCCGTCAAAGGCATCAGGACCTACCAGGGACGTGAAAATGGGAGTTTCATGGTACAAAAATTGGGGATATCAAAATTCATCCGGATCATTTCAATGAAGTTCCTACATTTAAGGCCGTGAAAAGGACAAATCATGTGATTTGAACTTGTTTTAATGGAAAGGTCGTTGGAATCCGCTGTTTTTTTTACTCAGAGAAATGGTCTCAAACCACCATTCCACTATTGACCCTCTGGTGAGCATGCATTGACGTGAAGACCATTCATTTGTTTTTTGGCAATGCAACAAAAACGTCTACTAATGTCAGAACTGATCATGAAGCAATCTGGTTGATTAATTTCGATCGTTCTCCCAGATTAACCCAATTTCATTTCAGGACCATCCCCTGTAATCATTGGTTATCCTCCGGTGTCATCAAACACGGCACTTGGAAATCCGCCGTAAGTGAGGTCTAATGGGAAAATCACCTATAAATTATAAATACGGGATTGTCCATTGCCATGTTTGATGACACCGGAGGTATATCAGATGATGTTACAAGTTTGGTATATGTTAGGAATACAATTACCTGGCCACTGCAAGTGCAGTCTCACCTTCCCACCCAACGAGGGCACCACATTCAGCCTCGCATTTCGGGAGCAAGGTTTCTGGGCATGAGTGGTGGTTTGGGGCCTAGTGACACAGGGACTGGCCACAAACCACCCACTAATGATTGCTTCATCATTCTCTTCCCAAGAAACATCAAATAAAACCAAACAAAACACATTCTCCCCTAACACATCCCCCCAAAATCATCGAACTCGACAGAGATCTCAGGGTACCCTGAATATCATCGCATCAACATCCTGGGCTTTATTCAAATCCGAGAAAGGACAGGGCCAGGATAACAATCCACTTCCAAATCTTCCAGCTACCCCATGGAACCATCAAACATGGCAATTTAAAATCCTCTATAAGTGCAGGTATTCTAATGGGAAAATCAACCGGAGCGTAGGACATCCAATTCAATCCCGTTCATCATTTTGGTGGTAAATCCCGATTCTATTGGACTTATCGCATACAATCATGCGGTAGAAAGGATAATACCCATAAAAAACCTCTAGGTGAATTTTCGCACGATCTTTAAGATAGCAATGAGAAATCCACGAAATGTCCCTCGTCCATAAAAAACTGTTCTAAAGTACCCAACGTTTGTTGGAGAATAAAGGAACAGGTTCATCTATAGACGGTGAGGTTTTCATGTGATGCTACCCGAGATCATCCAATTTTTCAACCATGTTTGTATTGAAACCCATGGTCCTTCAAAAAACAATAATGTAATAAGAATGTGTTTTAGGTGCCCAACATGCCAAACTCCCCCTAGGGTTGCTGCATGCAATCCGTTGTGTCAAAGAGCACCTTCTCTTTCAGAGGCGGCCTCGGCAAAATCAGACCCAAAACATCCAGCATTTCATGGTTCATGTCACAAATCATGTTCTGTTAATTGTTATTCCGGGATTCATTTCATGAAACGTGTCAACATTTATTTCATGAGCTCTGGTTCCCCAAACAGCGTGTCCACACTGAGGGGTTCTTACGGTAGGAGTTGAGGCCGGGGTTAGATCAGGGTGGGCGCTCTGATCCCCGGCATTTTTCCTGAAATTCTCGCATGAAATGGCTCTAATGAGATGTCCAAGTGCATTTCCGACTGCGCAAGCCTGCACAAAGTCTGCCCCGCGACTTTGGGGTGCGGCCTTTTTTGTGTAAATTTTCGCATGAAATTGTTCTTGTGAGATGTCCAGGTGCATTTCGACTGCGCAAGCCAAGCGCAGAAAACGTGCGGCTAACTTCTGGGGGACGGCATTTATCTTGAAAATTCTCGCATAAAATGGCTCTTGTATGCTCTTGTGACACGCCCATGTGCGCTTGCACAAAACTCGGGTCAAGTTCTTGTAAATTCTCGCATAAGCTGGCTCTTGTGACATGTCCATGAATGTGCGTTTCGACTGCGCAGGCTCGCACAAAACACGGGTCCCGTTCTTGAGGCACGGCATCTGTCCTGCGAATTCTCGCATAAAATGGCTCTTGTGAGATGTCCATGTGCATTTCGACTGCGCAGGCTCGCACAAAGTCTGCGCCGTGAGGTTCTCAAGCTCTGGGTCTGCGCCATTTTCACTGTAAATTCTCGCACGAACAGGCTGTGCAGATCCTGCTACATTCCTCTGTAAGAGGTCATTGCATAATCCTGTACAAGTCCTTCGTAGAAGATCTTGTGGAGATCCTGGTGAGGTCCTCTGTCCTCTCTAAGAAGTCCTTGCATGAGGAGCTTGCAGATGCCATGTCTTAGAGGTGCTTGTATGCATGCTCTTGTGGGAAGCTCTTGGGAGGTTCTTGTATCAAGATCTTGTGAGATCCGCTCCAGCAGCAGCAGGCCCTTTTTTTGACGATCTTGTGACATTCCCTTAGGGGTCCTGGCATGAAGATCTTGCTCAAGGTCTTTTACACTTCGTTGAAGATCTTGTGGGATCCTAGTGAACTGCTGTCAGAGGCCTTTGCATGATCTTGCGCAGGTCCTTGTGAGCTCTTGAAGAGGTCCTGGTGTAATCCTCTCGGTGTCCTTACATGATCTGGCACAGGTCCTTATGAAGAGATCTTGCGGAGAGCCTGTTGAAATCCTCCTCAAGAGGTCCTTGCATTAAGATCTTGAAGATCCTCTGCGTTGGTGCTTCTATGAAAGTTCTTCTGAAATGCTCATAGGAAGTCCTTGTGTGAAGATCTTGTGAGCTCATCTTTATAGATCTACATAGATCTACATGGAAGGTCCTGCTGCTGCAGTTGCGATAATGTCTCACCTCATCTGTTACTGTTCCATACCTTCTGCTGCTTGTATCTGGTATATTGACTTCCTGCCCCCCCACACTGTTTGGGGCCTCTCGCCGGTGCCTACGGTATTCCATCATATTAAACCATATTAAACCCTTCAAGTCATTTGTGAGTCACAAAATAACCAGCAGTTCGTAGTGCTAATGCTCCAGGCGGCGCCGTCAAGGGAGCCGCGTCCTGTTCCTTCTCTTGCGGCTCTTGAGGTGTCGCCTGCAATTCAGGTTGTCGTTGTGGACGATCATCCGAATCTTAGCCAGTTTTGAGATGTTCTAAGCTATTTACTAAGTGGGATGAATAACCAAGTAGCAACCACTAAAAAAATGACAGCAAAAATCCAACTAGAATATATATATATAATAATTTGAAGGATATGGATAAATTCTTTTTGGAATGGTTACTTCAAAAAACATAGTTCTTGAGTAGCTAGAAAATCATTGACAGAAAATGTCATGGTTGACTAACAGATGTGTGGCAACGGGAAATGTCCGTATTTTGCATCCCGGCATCCCAGCAGTCCAGGCCTCATATCTCAACCAACGCATCTGAAATGCACATCACTGCGCCCAAAATTACCGCAAGACACCCGCAAACACCCGCAAATCCAAGAATCTGGTAAATTTGTATCAGTTTGGGAGCGTGCAATTAAACTATACAAACCAACTTGGATGTGCGAGTTCCACATTTTGAAAGCAATAGATCAATAGCTGGTGAGAAGACTGGGAGGAGGGCTATGCAGATGGGAAACACAGTCATGACATACCACACCTAACCTTGTGGGGAAACGCTCGATACGACCATAAATTTGATGAGACGCCTGACTTTGCAAGACGACGGATATCTTTTAGGAGTCGGAAGGCCCAGATATGAATTGTCGATTTTTGTCGATGATTTCCCCACTCGGGATGCAACGCCGCGATTGCTGCTCATCTAGACGTGGCCACAATTCATCAGGAAAAAATGAGCACAAAAAAAACAAAAAACTGCGTACGGGGTCGGACTCCCATCTTTTCATGCAGGTCTCCCTGTATCGACCTGAGATTCCTGTTTGATCTCCTCTTTCACTTCTTGCTTCACCTCCTCTTTCACTTCAACCCTCGGCGTGTGCAGAAGTGTTCATAAGGTTGCAGTGAAAACTGGTTGCTGGTGTCCGCACATACCAACAAAGGACTCATTTGGGAATAGTCATCCAGAGAAGGCGTGGATACAATATATGATATGTATAATGAATATATTCAAAACCACCAGTTGCAAAACTACGGGGGAGTTGATGTTTGCAGGATGATGTTCCCCCAATTGCAGTTTCGGCTGCCGTTTGCCCGTTCGGACGCCTGTTCGGAATTCGACCCACTCCCAAATGGCCCTCGGAAAAGGAACATTTTGGGTACTTGCACACAAGCGGCTGTCATTTTCGCAGGAATCACAATGTGCAAAAGATGCCAAAGGCCCTGCAAGCATCTAATTCTTACATCGAGTCGCTTCTCTTCTTTCACTTCCTGCTTGACTTCCTCTCCCTCCTGCTGCGCAAGGTCCCATGGCTAGCAACCGCACAAGGTTCCCATGCACAACGTTTTACAACTGGATAGTGGATGATAGCATATACACTTTATGCTGCTCAAACTCCGGGTTGGTGACCCCATCTTTCGTTATTTTGATTGGTGAAACCGCCGTTTTGGTTGTTGGTGATTTATATTTATAGTTTTACACCTGGACAATGATCATATCAGTTATCCAAAGGTTGTCATTTGAATTTCCGTGATTGCCTGTTTACATCCGATTTTTTGACTGGAAAATCCAAAGTTCGCTCTCAAAGCACCAGTTTTGGTGAGTGTAAGCCTTACCTTTTGATTATGAAATTGTCTTTATTGATTGTTTAAACCCAACTTTTGCTGGAATTAAGATCCCAATAAGATCCCAATACTGTATTCCGACTGACCTCAGTGACCACCCTGGGACCAAAAAGGACCCAAAGGCTCCTGCGCTGGTCGTGCCACGAAGCCTTCCTCGGTCTTTTGACGTTTGGCGTCAGCCTTGGTGGTAACCAGGGGGTTCACCAAGCTAATAAGATGGAGTTCACCAAGCGAAAAAACGGCTGGCATTTAACGATTTCACTATAGATCTATAGGACATATGAAGGGTTCACTACAGATCTATAGGAAATATATATATATATCAACAAGATGGATTTTGCTAGCCAAATTACTCATACTTCGTTTGATCCCCACCGTGGCATATCCTGCCATTCTATCTGGCATATATTCTGACACACTGTATGACATTTTACCTCACATATATGCTGGAAATCTATCTAGTATTGTATCTGACAGATATTCAGGGATTCTATCTAGTGTATACATATATATATATACTCTGATATTGAATCGGGCACTCTATATCTGCCATTATATATGATATTCCATGTATATGTTATGTACATATATATATATATATTCATTATGTATTTATGTATATGTATATATATAATGTGTATGTATATATATATATACATATATATATATATTATTTTACATATACATATATATTATTATACATACATACATATATATATACACATTACTATACATATATATATGTGTGTATTATTATGCATACATATATATATATTATTATACATATATTATTATTACACATATATATATATATTATTACACATATAAGTATATATATATGCGGCAAATGCCTGGGCTTTGCCCAGAACCGCAACCACGACAGGCAACGCATCATCATCACCATCATCATCATCATCACCATCATCACCATCGTCACCATCATCATAATCAGAATTAAACCCTTATTGAAGATCTTCAATGAATGTAGAAGTTTAACGGGGGTGGGAGAATTCAACCCTTATTGAAGATCTTCAATGAATGTAGAAGTTTAACGGGGGTGGGCAAAGCCCAGGCGTTGCGCGTATATGTATATATACATATACATATTACTATATATATATATATATTGAATATGTACTTTTATAAATAATGTATACATATATATATATGTATACATATTATATATGATACATATAAATATATTACTACATATATATCACTACATATATATATATATGTACGTATAGATATATATATATATATTATGTATACATGTTATGTGTGTGTATCTATTATATTCTGACATTTTATCTGGCATGGCATCTGGCACTCTATCTGACATTTTTCTGACAGTTTATCTGACATAAATAATCGAATTCCATCTGACATTTTATCTGCCATTCTATTGGGAACTGTACTTGATATATGAATATGATATAGATATGTATATATATATGATTTATCTATTTATCTAATTTTATGTTTGATTAATTAATTAATTTATCTACGGATATCTACTGTATTGATGTTTTTCAGTTTTTCAGACATTTTATCGGAAATGTAATCTGGCATTCTATCTCATATGCACAGATACATCTATTCTTACATTCTATCTGACGTCTTGTCTGATTTTTTCTGGCATTCAGTTTGACATATTTTCCCTCATTCCGTCTGACATTTGATATGACATTTTTTCTTGCATTTTATCTGGCATTCTTTCTGGCATTCTATTTGGCACATAGTCTGACATTCTGTCTAACCTCGTATCTTGCATTTTATCTAACATTCTTTCTCAAATTCCATCTGACATTTCATCTAGCATTCTATTTTACATTTCATTTGGCATTCTATTTGGCATTTTATCTGATTATTATGAATATATGTTTGTATATATTGAAAAACTCTATGACAACTAATCTGGCATTCTATCTGACGGTCGTTCCGGCATTTCAAATATTCTCCGAAAGCCTCAAAGAGCTGGCGAACTCGCTATGGGAGAGCGGGTGAGCTCGCCCTGGGGTTCGGGTCCAGGTGCCCCCCCATGCCCCTCACCTGGCAGGTGGGGAAAAACATGAGAATGATTTCGCCAATCGAAAATTCGGGAATCTGAATCATTTCCCCAAGCAAATTTTGGGGAGGCAAATCTAAGTATGGCAAAGCAACCAAAAATATCCGAATTTGGGATGTGACCAACCCCAAAACAGATGTAACCAACAATGAAATAGGAGTTTGCCAAGCTAACCTCAGGATTTCATCAAAGAAAAATTGGAAATTAAATTGGCCAAACGAAGTTGGCATCAAAATGTGGTGGTAGGTATGGATCTAGACGAGGCAATTCAAAGGTCAAGGGGTGAAAGACTAGCCCACCCACGTGTCTTCAACTTTGACCCACAGAGCCAAATGAGCGATGAAAAAAATATCTACGAGTAGAAAACTCGGAAAACTCTTAAGCACACTCCATGATTGTCTGTGACGTGCGGTTGCACAAAAGCAGATGGCCAATGGTGCGAAGCGAAGCCGGAGCTGCAGGCAGGCTGCAGGGTTTTACCTTTTGGGATGATCAAATGGTCCCTTCATCCCCATGTGGTTCATAGGGTCATAGGGATTTCCAGCCCATGGATCATATACAGTAATCCCTAATATGTAAAGGGTCGCATAACCCCCCGAATTAATAAATCATCAACCAAGGGGCAACCATCATGTATCAAGTATGTCTCATATGTTTGATCATTAAACCCCCAGTTAACTAGTTAATCAAATCCGGTCTAAATCCCGGAAGACTGTGGAAACAAATACCCGCTGAACATGCGCTACGCCCCACAGGTACTTCATTATATACACTTTCACACGTTTTGGTTTAGGGTTTCTTTAGGTTTCTTCAGGGTTCTTTTAGGGTTCATTTGGGGTTTCTTTAGGGTCAAATTGGATTTTTCCTAGGGATTTCTAAGTTGTTTAACGGTTTGTGTAAAAAGTGCCGAAAACCAATCTTGCCAGACAGCCGAACCCCGCAGAGGGTCATCAAACACGTCTCTGGGTTTGCAAACTCAGAGACATCAAGTTATAACATCCCAACATAGTGGAAGGCCACCAAGTACTGAAAGGGTCACCAAAGATGAGGTTCCCGACAATCATCCCGAAAGATGTTGGGGCATATAACAAGTGCTGGCCGAAAAAATCATAAAACCCCCTAAATCCCGCTTAGATCCCATAAAAAATGCTCCATGTTTGGGTTTCGACGGTGAATTTCCAAGGGTTTCAACAGCTGGGACCCATCACATCGCCATCCATTGCCGAGCTGTTGGCACCAATGGTCCTGGGAAATCAAAAGATCCCCAGGTTTCATCCGAAAATAGAAATATGTCTATCTGTCTATAATCTAATCTAGTCTAATCTAATCTTCCCTAATCTAACCAAACCTATCTAACCTATCCATCCATCCATCCATCCATCCATGCATCCATCCATCCATCCATCCATCCATCCATCTATCTATCTCTACCGATCTATCGATCTATCGATCTATCGATTTATCGATCTATCTAATCTATCGATCTATCGATCTATCGATCTATCGATCCATCGATCTATCGATCTATCTATCCAATCGAATCGAATCCAATCCAATCCAATCTAATCTAATCTAATCTATCCAACCTATCTAACCTATCTAACCTATCTAGCTATCTATCTAATCTAATCTATCTAATCTATCTAATCTATCTAATCTATCTAATCTATCTCATCTATCTAACCTATCTAACCTATCTAATCTATCTAATCTATCTAACCTATCTAATCTATTCAATTTATCTCATCCATCTAATCTATCTAATCTATCCTAATCTATCCTAATCTATCTAATCTATCCAATCTATCCAATCTATCCAATCTATCTAATCTATCTAATCTATCTAATCTATCTAATCTATCTGATCTATCTGATCTATCTAATCTATCTGATCTATCTAATCTATCTAATCTATCTAATCTATCTCATCTATCTAATCTATCTAATCTATCTAATCTATCTAATCGATCTAATCGATCTAATCCATCTAATCGATCTTTTCTATCTAATCGATCTAATCGATCTAATTGATCTAATCCATCTAATCAATCTAATCGATCTCATCTATCTAATCTAATCTAATCTAATCTGATCTAATCTAATCTAATCTAGTCTAATCTATCTAATCAATCTAATCGATCTTATCTATCTTATCTATCTAATCTATCTAATCTGTCTAATCTGTCTAATCTGTCTAATCTATCTAATCTATCTAATCTATCTAATCTATCTGATCTATCTGATCTATCTCATCTATCTCATCTATCTCATCTATCTAATCTAATCTAATCTAATCTAGCCTAGTCTAATCTAATCTAATCTAATCTATCTATCTATCTAATCTAGCTATCTAGCTATCTAGCTATCTAGCTATCTAGCTATCTAGCTATCTATCTATCTATCTATCCATCTATCTATCTATCTATCTATCTATCTATCTATCTAATCTAGCTATCTATCTAATCTAATCTAATCCAATCTAATCCAATCTAATCCAATCTAATCTATCTATATATATAGTGTACTATATATAATGCAGCATACTATATATATACTATATATAGTATGCTATAATTGAATCATTGTAGAATAATATAGTATTGAAGTCCCATTTACATGCTCCAATGATTTCAATGTACTCATGCAAAAGAAAGCAAGCATATATATATATATAACATGGGTATGTGATGTGTCAAAATTAGATACCCCTAAAATTGAATGGTTAATAATACTTAATACTAAAAATCATCAGAATCTACGGTCTCCGGGGCCTAAGTTGATCCCAGCGGGTGGGAGCTGGTCCCACAGAAATCCAGGCACCATTTCCGGTTGGATGCTTAAGATCAAACGGGACGTGTATACATATATATATATAAACCCCTGAAAATTGATGGCTTGGAAACCCAAAGATAAACTAAACCCTAGCATTGGAGAAAAGCCGTAGTACCAGAGTTCCAGAAGAATATGCCCTCAGTTGTCTATTACCCTTCAGGGAACTGTCCACCATCCCCCCATCAAAAAACATCACCAAACCCCTCACCTCAAGCGTGGGCCCCACCGGGCCCCTTTTCCCCGGGAACACCGCTGCCCGGGTGTCACGCACCCCGCGCCCCCCAACCTTTCAAGCCAATAGCGGCAGGTCCCAACGCCGACATTCGGAGCACAGATTCGGAGCTGGTGGTTCCGCAGGATCCCCTTGAGGATCTACAGAATCTACAGTCAAGTGGGACATAGAATTTCAAGGGGCAAGTTCTGGAAAGCAGTATACATACTGTGTATATATATATATATTATTATATATATATAATTATATATATATATAATTATATATATATGTACATGTGGAAAGCAATTTCAAATGGGCACACAATTACATTTCAGGGGATAAGCAGCATATGTGAAAGATGGAGTCCCGAAGTCAACCAAAACATCCAATTCTGGCTGAATTTTCGGAGTTTTGCCCCTTTTGATCATCCACACCATGGTATGGTCCATTTTCAGAAAAAACATCCAGGCCCAAGTTGCCTACGCGTGTCTATCCAGAACCATCTGGGCAGTGTTCAAAACCTCTTTTGGTTGATTAAAGGCGTCATACTATCCCATCCAATATGTTGGGGATTCCATTCCCCCTGATATCAAATTATTAAACATCACCCAGCAACCATGGTGGATGGGGATTCCATTGTGGCAAATCTGCCCGACTGTATCTCTGCCCAACTGCCCGCTGCCCAGTCTGCCCCATTTTTCGGCGGAACCCTACCGACTCACGCACCAACTCGAGTGCCCTGGCATGGAAAAGCCCAGCACGGGAATTTTCGATGATTTTGGGATCATAATGAT